TCCATGTAGGAGTCGAGCTTAAGACTCGGACCTGGATTTTGTAGACCTCTCGAAAAAACAATCTGTACTGTACCTCCATGTAGGGGTTTTTTAGGGTTGGGGTATACTGTACCTCCATGTAGGGGTCTTTTAGGGTTGGGGTGTACTGTACCTCCATGTTGAGATTGACGGGGAGAAATTGTGGTTCGAGCTGGAGGCGTGTTCGAGAAGGAGCTGGAATCGGACTCGAGGAGTGTTCGGTGCATTCGGTTCGGTTGCGTGTGCGACTCGGGGTGAAACGAGGCGCACGCGGTTACTTGGGAAACAAGTGAAGTTACGAATCGCATTTTGTGTCTTGCCTGACTATAAACCTGTTTGTACTCATTCTTGAAATACAACATTGGACAACATTGATCAGTTGGAGATTCTGAAAGTTGCTGAAGTGTGTATTGACAACTTCAAGCAGAGCTGCGCATATCATTGGATTCGTGAGATCGTGGAGAACACGATAGGCGATAGCAAGTAGACTATTGCTGACTAAGGTGTTTACGATCCTAAGAACTGGTATCAGAGCTTGGCGAACAGGCACGTCGATCGTCGTGAATTCACTTGGTGCGCTAAGTGAAATTAGTGGAGAAGAGGAGTCGTTCACGCCTACGCTATGGGAGACGAGGCGAGTTCGGGTTCCAGTCTGATTCTTGGAGACCCGCAGTTGAAGGCTCTTCTAGAGGCCCTTGCGAGTGGCCGATTGGTGGCGAAACCGACGATCGGGCTCAGTGAAGCCCAGCGCTTCAACGGAAGCAACTAGAACGTGTGGCGAGAGAAGTTCATTCGGAGAGCAGAGGAGGTGGACCTCTTGCCGTACTACCGTCCCGACGAGAAGACGATGGAGGGAGTTGCGCCTTCTACGACGGATACGAAGGAGAAAATAGCGGCATTTAAAAAGCAAAGTAAGCAAGCTTTCTTTCAGCTTTGTCATTCAGTTGCCGATGGAATCGCGGTGGATTTGGACTAGTTTGCAGGGGAGCTGAACTCTGCACAGAAAGCATGGGAGTACCTGGAGTCCACGTACATGGGTACGAACGATGTCAACAAGAAGGCGATCAGGAAGCAACTGCTGATGCTGAGCATGGAGAAAGGCGAGAAAATCATCACCTAGATCAACAGGGCGAAAAGCTACAACGACGATTTGCGGGTGATGGGAGCCGCGGAGACGGAGCACGAGATGATTGACTATATCATCCAAGGCCTTCCTAAAGAATGGGAATCCGACATTGGAATGTTTACGTACCAACCGCCGGAGAGTTTGACGAAGCTGCAGGAGATCCTGCAATCGCTTGAGACGGTGAAGGAGATGAGGAAAAAGAAAGCGGCAGTAGCAGCTACGGAATTCGACGAGGAAAGGTCGGCTTTGGTGAATGCCACGAAGGCGTTTGGAGCGTGCTACCAGTGTGGAAAGAGGGGGCATAAGGCGATAAACTGCTACGAAAATCCGCGAAGCAGAAACTACAAGGGCAAAGCGGTGGAGAACGAGAAAGGAGAAAATGGGGGAGCAGAGTGGCAACAGAAACGAGGTTTTGGCGGCAAGTGTGATTATTGTGGGCGCTACGGACATCGTGCCGCAGAGTGCTACTCCAATCCGAACAGCAGGAGCTACAAGGTTCCGTCGCAGCAGAGGAATGTGGCGGCTAAGGCGAATGTAGCGGAAGCCGAAAAGGAGGATGTGATTTTGGGAGGAGCACATCTTGCGAACGTGGTGCGTTTACCGAAGGAAGCTCCACAGACGGATGGTCGTGAGAAGACGACATGGTTCATGGACAGCGGATGCACGCGTCACATGACGTTCAGGTCAGATTGGATGGAGAATGTGAGGGAGTCGAGTGAGGATTATATTCTGCAAGGTAACAGTGGGAAGTTACCAGTGACAGGAGAGGGTGATGTGGTGCTGCAGAGTCCGTATGGAGAGGTGAAACTGGAGAGTGTGTTGCTGGTTGAGGATTTAAAGGTGAACTTGATGAGTCAGTCACAGCTTGATGACTTGGGGTGCAAGATATTTTATGACAGTGGCAAGGTTACAGTGTTTGGCCCTGAGTGGGAGAAGTACGCAGAGGGTTACTTCAGTGACGGATTTTATGAGATGAACGTGATAGCGACGAATGATATGGATGAGATCTATGAGGATCCTGAGTATGGTGAAATGGGAGAATTGGAGAAGTTATCGACTAAGGTTGATGAGAGTGAGGACACGGATGATACGGCAGCGAGTGTGGAGGCAGCAGTGAAGCAGAAAGAGGAGATAGTCGCCATGGAGGCAGCAGCAGTGAATGGTGGCGATAGAGATGGTGTCAACACTTTTGCAGCAGCGATTGTGGTTGAAGTCGAAGCAGTAAATGCGAAGTGTGTGGGAGTCGAAGCTGTGAAAGGGGACATCATGGTGAAGGGATCAAAGGTGAAAGCAACTGCAAAGGGGCGAGTGCTTACGAAAGAGGAACATGTTGAAGGGTACGAGACCCGAGAGGTGTTGAGTGTTGAGATGCCGAGGAGCAGCGAGAGGATCAAGAAAATCTCTCAAGGTTTGGATGTCAAGGCGCTCAACTTCAAGACACGTAAGCAGAGGCTCAAGGTGCAGGAGCTGCAGGGGAGCGTGAAGCCGACTTAGACCCTATGAAGGCTACAAGGAGCAGAGGAGGAGTGCGAGTGGAGTTCGTGGTTGACGAACCACAGGGGAGATTGTTAGGGTTGGTTCGACGAACCACGGAACCTACGGCGAAATGCGGAATGACGGCGGAATGGATCTCGTGGGAGATTCTAGATCTAAAACGGTGGAAATCGGCCTACGGTGAAGAATGGAAGCTACGGCGTGAGAAGCGGGAGAGAAATCAGGAAGAAACTAGAGAAATGGAGAGAGAAGAGTGGAGAAGCATCGAGAATGAGATTGACGGGGAGAAATTGTGGTTCGAGCTGGAGGCGTGTTCGAGAAGGTGCTGAAATCGGACTCGAGGAGTGTTCGGTGCATTCGGTTCGGTTGCGTGTGCGACTCGGGGTGAAACGAGGCGCACGCGGTTACTTGGGAAACAAGTGAAGTTACGAATCGCATTTTGTGTCTTGCCTGACTATAAACCTGTTTGTACTCATTCTTGAAATACAACATTGGACAACATTGATCAGTTGGAGATTCTGAAAGTTGCTGAAGTGTGTATTGACAACGTCAAGCAGAGCTGCGCATATCATTGGATTCGTGAGATCGTGGAGAACACGATAGGCGATAGCAAGTAGACTATTGCTGACTAAGGTGTTTACGATCCTAAGACATGTAGGGGTCGAGTTTGGGATTGGCACCCAGGATTCGCGCGTATCCATCAAACCAGGGAGTCCCAGGGGCCCAGAGTTGGTCGAAGTCCCGAAATTGCCGAATCGCAAAGATCGCCTTCAATGGGTCGAAGAACCCTGGTGTTTTCTCATTCGTCGCGACGTACAGCGTGCGTCCAGGTGCAACGAACCGGGGGAGCTTCTCGAGAAGGCTGTTGAATCGCAAGGAAGAGGGAAACAGACAGGTAACAGCGAAGCATTGGTAAAGATTCCTTGGATGTGCTCACCAGCAGCATTAACTTAACAGGGGGAGATTCTCCAAGAGACTGTAACAGAGCGAAGTCCAGGGAAAAGACCAGTAACATGGAACCATTCGGTGAAAAAATCTGACTACGCATCCCAAGAAGTTAAAAAAACGTTGCTCACCACTAGCAGCATTCATCATTAACTTATTATCATCCGAACACAGCTGAATTCGAGTCTAGAGTGGCTGACTTACGCGGGAAGGCTCGTGTCGTTTGCCACGTGCGGTTACACGTCGGTGTTGAGCTTGTCTCCCCTGCGCACTCTCACGCCGCAGTCCCCTCTGAGTCGACTCAACAGCTTCATTTGAGCAGAGCGGTTGACTTCAGTTACGCGGGAGGGCTCGTGTCGTTTGCCACGTGCGGCCACATGTCAGTGTTGAGCTTGTCTCCCCTCCTCACTCTCACGGCATCGTAGTCCCCCGCATTCATGGATTGCGACATGTTGGCTGCCAGGCCCCTCAGCTCCGGACGAAAGAGAATGGCCGACTCGTTCGCCGTGATGTAGTCGACTCGCTGTTACGCATGGCAGGGCGGATGGGATGGTGGGCAAGAAGGTATCGAGGCGCTTCAAACGTCCTGTTGGGCGGAAGAGAATGGCCGACTCGTTCGCCGTGATGTAGTCGACTCGCTGTCATGGTTGGGTGGAGGAGGGTGGGTGGATTTTGGATGGGGCAAGAGAATACATGGACTGTGACATGCTGGCTGCTAGTCCTCTCAGCTCCGGCACAAAGAAAATGGCGGCGCCGTGATGTAGTCGATTCACTGTTATGCATGGGTGGAGAGGGAGGAAGGGGGGGGAGTGGGAGGAGAGGGAGGAGGTAGGAGGGTAGGGAGGAGAGGAGGGAACTCATCGAGTTGGGCCGGTTGCAACACTCCCCTTTTCGAGTTGACTCAAAACAGTGCCACGAGGGAAAGGAGGAGAGGGAGGAGCGGGAGGAGAGGGAGGAGAGGGAGGAGAGGGGAGGAGAGGGAGGAGAGGGAGGAGAGGGAGGAGAGCGAGGAGAACGAGGAGAGGGAGGAGAGAGAGGAGGGAGAGGAGGGAGGAGAGGAGAGGAGAGGAGAGGGGAGGAGAGGGATGAGTGGGAGGAGAGGGGAGGAGAGGGGAGGAGAGGGAGTGGAGGAAGGAGAGGAAAGGAGAGGAGAGGTTGGGGAGGAGAGGGAGGAGAGGAGAGTAGAGGAGAGGAGAGGAGAGGGAGGAGAGGGAGGAGAGGGAGGAGAGGGGAAGAGAGGAGAGGAGAGGAGAGGAGGGAGGAGAGGAGAGGAGAGGGGAGGACAAGGAGGAGAGGAGAGGAGAGGAGAGGAGAGGAGAGGGAGGAGAGGGAAGAGAGGAGAGGAGAGTATAGGAGAGGAGGAGAGGAGAGGAGAGGAGAGGAGAGGAGAGGGGAAGAGAGGAGGAGAAGCGCTCACCATATTTTGCCAGTTGCAGCGCTCCCCTCGGCACGGGTCAAAGCCGTAATGACCGTCTCGAATGATGAGCGTGGTGGTGATGTCCTGCGCTATGGCCTGCAGAGGAAGGGAAGGGAGAGGAGGAGGGGGGTTGTGGGAGGAGAGGCTGATGAGGGTTCATTGCACAAAGCTGTAGTGGCCGTCTCGAATGATGAGCGCGGTGGTGCTGTCCTGCGCTATGGCCTGCTCGTGGGAGGAGGAGGGGAGAACTGGGGGGTATGGCTGATGGGGGTGCTTGCACAACACGGAATGATGAGGGTGCTTGCACAACACGGAATGATGAGGGTGCTTGCACAACACGGAATGATGAGGGTGCTTGCACAACACGGAATGATGAGGGTGCTTGCACAACACGGAATGATGAGGGTGCTTGCACAACACGGAATGATGATGGTGCTTGCACAACACGGAATGATGAGCGCGGTGGTGCTGGCCTGCGCTATGGCCTGCTCGTGGGGGGTTGCGGGGAGGGGGGGTGGGGAGGGGGAGAGGGTGGGTGATGGAGGTTGGCTCATGTGGGTGCTTGCGTTACACCGACTGGGGGATGAAGGAGGGGGGATGGGGGAGGGGGGATGGGGGAAAGGGGCAAGGGGTGGCGTTTAACGCATGTGGGTGCTTGCGCTACACCGACTGGGGGATGAGGGAGGGGGGATGGGGGAGGGGCCAAGGGGTGGTGTTTAACGCATGTGGGTGCGCGGCATACAGCACCGAATGATGAGAGCGTGCCTGTGTTGCGCTGGGCTATGGCTTGCACATGGGGGAAGGGAGGATGGGGGATGGAGGAAAGAAAAGTGAGGGATCGAGGGGGGGGGGGGGGAGGAGAAGGAGTGCTGTAATCTCGGGCTGTAGCAAGCTTTGTGGTGCAGCGACCTAGGCTGTAGCATGCTTTGTGGTGCAGCGACCTAGGCTGTAGCATGCTTTGTGGTGCAGCGACCTAGGCTGTAGCATGCTTTGTGGTGCAGCGACCTAGGCTGTTGCATGCTTTGTGGTGCAGCGACCTAGGCTGTAGCATGCTTTGTGGTGCAGCGACCTAGGCTGTAGCATGCTTTGTGGTGCAGCGACCTAGGCTGTAGCAAGCTTTGTGGTGCAGCGACCTAGGCTGTAGCATGCTTTGTGGTGCAGCGACCTAGGCTGTAGCATGCTTTGTGGTGCAGCGACCTAGGCTGTAGCATGCTTTGTGGTGCAGCGACCTAGGCTGTAGCATGCTTTGTGGTGCAGCGACCTAGGCTGTAGCAAGCTTTGTGGTGCAGCGACCTAGGCTGTAGCATGCTTTGTGGTGCAGCGACCTAGGCTGTAGCATGCTTTGTGGTGCAGCGACCTAGGCTGTAGCATGCTTTGTGGTGCAGCGACCTAGGCTGTAGCAAGCTTTGTGGTGCAGCGACCTAGGCTGTAGCATGCTTTGTGGTGCAGCGACCTAGGCTGTAGCATGCTTTGTGGTGCAGCGACCTAGGCTGTAGCATGCTTTGTGGTGCAGCGACCTAGGCTGTAGCATGCTTTGTGGTGCAGCGACCTAGGCTGTAGCAAGCTTTGTGGTGCAGCGACCTAGGCTGTAGCATGCTTTGTGGTGCAGCGACCTAGGCTGTAGCATGCTTTGTGGTGCAGCGACCTAGGCTGTAGCATGCTTTGTGGTGCAGCGACCTAGGCTGTAGCATGCTTTGTGGTGCAGCGACCTAGGCTGTAGCAAGCTTTGTGGTGCAGCGACCTAGGCTGTAGCATGCTTTGTGGTGCAGCGACCTAGGCTGTAGCATGCTTTGTGGTGCAGCGACCTAGGCTGTAGCATGCTTTGTGGTGCAGCGACCTAGGTTGTAGCATGCTTTGTGGTGCAGCGACCTAGGCTGTAGCAAGCTTTGTGGTGCAGCGACCTAGGCTGTAGCATGCTTTGTGGTGCAGCGACCTAGGCTGTAGCATGCTTTGTGGTGCAGCGACCTAGGCTGTAGCATGCTTTGTGGTGCAGCGACCTAGGCTGTAGCATGCTTTGTGGTGCAGCGACGTAGGCTGTAGCATGCTTTGTGGTGCAGCGACCTAGGCTGTAGCATGCTTTGTGGTGCAGCGACCTAGGCTGTAGCATGCTTTGTGGTGCAGCGACCTAGGCTGTAGCATGCTTTGTGGTGCAGCGACCTAGGCTGTAGCATGCTTTGTGGTGCAGCGACGTAGGCTGTAGCATGCTTTGTGGTGCAGCGACCTAGGCTGTAGCATGCTTTGTGGTGCAGCGACCTAGGCTGTAGCATGCTTTGTGGTGCAGCGACCTAGGCTGTTGCATGCTTTGTGGTGCAGCGACCTAGGCTGTAGCATGCTTTGTGGTGCAGCGACCTAGGCTGTAGCATGCTTTGTGGTGCAGCGACCTAGGCTGTAGCATGCTTTGTGGTGCAGCGACCTAGGCTGTTGCATGCTTTGTGGTGCAGCGACCTAGGCTGTTGCATGCTTTGTGGTGCAGCGACCTAGGCTGTTGCATGCCATGTGTGACTGAGTCTTCTTTGAGTCTTCCCACACACGGTCTCTCACCCGTGTTCTTGTGTCGTCTTTAATCGACTAAAACATCGCAGAGTACGATATGACTGAACTGACTGAACTGACTCACTCCAGTCTTTGGGTACTCAGACTCTCCAGTCTCTCACCCGTGTTCTCAGGAGTCGTTAGTACCTCACCTCACCCTGTCCTTGTGTCTGCTCTACATTCCCAGTCATCTAGGAGGTTGCAGATTAAGGCTAATTTACCTGTCCTTGAGTATTCCTCAAGAAAAGTTACTCACTCACCCTGTCCTTGTGTCTGCTCTACATTCCCTGTCAATTAGGAGGTTGTCGAAAGTAAACAGGTGGGCTGCGGAGGCCTTATTCTCAGCCAACTAGGAGGAGGTTGCAGATTAAGACTAATTTACCTGTCCTTGAGTATTCTCAAGAGAAGTTGGTCACTCACCCTGGTCCGTGTGTCTGCTTGCACCAAACGGGCAAACAGGGCTGTAGCTGACACACCCTCCCCTGCAGATACACCCTCCCCTGCAGATACACCCTCCCCTGCAGATACACCCTCCCCTGCAGATACACCCTCCCCTCCAGATACACCTCTCAACCGCCTTCCAGCAGCCTCCCCTTTTCCATCCGCCTCTTCCCCCCTGTTGCTCCCCTCCCCTCCCCCTTGCTCTTGCTGCCGCTGCCACTCCTTCAGGCCCTGCAGGAACCCGTTCAGGGGAGTGAATCTGGCGGCCCTGCAAGAGTGAGAGGGGAAAAAGGAGAGAAAGGGTAAAAGAGAGGAAGGAAAATAAAAAAAAGAGGGGGGGGGGGGGAGGAAGGAGAGAAAGGGAAAAAAAAAAAACGACAGTGAGTCACTCCCAAGCCACTGCCAGGCCGTGCAGGAACCTGTGCAAGAACCCGTGCAAGAACCCGTGCAAGGGGGTGAATCTGGCGGCCCTGGGGCGAAAAGTGAAGGGCGGAGGGAGAGGCGCGGGGGTGGTGAGATGGTGGGGGTGGGGGGTTGGACGAAACGGTCGAGTCATCCCCCAGCTGCGGCCATTCCGCCAGCCCGTGATGGCGGGGGCGGGGATGGTGGGATGTGGGGATGGGGGCCGGGGTGTAACCGAGTCACTCGCGAGCAACGGTCTCTCCGCCTGGCCCTGAGGAGAGGGGGGGTAACCTGGCGGTCCTGCGGGGGGGAAAGAGAGAAGGAGACCGGAGATTCGGGGGGGGGATGGTGGGGTGGGGGGAGGGTGTCACCTGAGGAAGGGTGTTGAGGGACGGTCTTACTTGAGGGAGGGCAGATCGTAGTAGTAATGCAGGCCGTGAAAACTCGCAGACCCGCCGCTGTGCAATCCGTTAACGCACAACCCCATATCGAGTACAAGCGTGCGATTCAGAAAAGCCGCTTCTGCGATCTTGCACGACATGCTGCGATGGAAGTGGCGAATCCCCGGACAGAAATCGCGCTGCCCGGTAACAAAGTAATATTTCTCGCCCGGGCGAAAGTAATCTTCTCGCCGAACTGGTAACCACTCCGTCTCCCACGTCAATCGCGGATTGATATGAAGGTACTCCAGAACCCTCGGCGAATCAAGAGGCTCCACGTCACCCAGCGTTCGCTGCTCCAATTCCGCCATTAACTCGTCCGCGTCGCTTGCTCCCTGCGTTTCAGAATCTGAACTCGAGCGGTTCGCCGCGCGTTCGCTGGTTGGAGGGCTCGCGTCGTTCGCACGCTCGTGGTTACCAGTAGCTTGGTTGGATTCGCTGATTTCGCGAGACGACGTCTCCCCCGGTTCAAGAACAGCGGGAGATTCCCTTTCAGGTCCCGATTCGTCTTTCTCCGACCCTTTTTCCGGATTCCCTCGCCCCTCGCTCCGCCCCCCGCCATTCGCATTCCCCTCGTCCACATCCTCATTCTTACCCTCGTTCTCCGCATTCCCCGCCTCCGCGTTCTCCTCATTCCCCGCCTCCGATTTCTCCGCAATCCCCGCGTCCTCGCTCTCTGCTACTCCCGCATCCTCCCCCGCGTGAACATCCGCATCCCCCTCTTCCGCCATATCCCCCGCGCCCCCTTCCGCTGCGGTACCACGTGCCGCAAGCCCCTCTTGCTTCCCCATGCCCCCTTCAGCATTTTTATACTCCGCTTCCGCCACATCCCGCGCCGCTGCCGCAGCAGGTTCCGTTACCGTCTCTGTTACCGTCTCAGTTACCGTCCCGCTCTCCGTCTCAATCTCCGGCATCACATCCCCCTCGCCTCCCACTCTTACGCCTCGCGGGAAGTCAACGAGCCGCGTGAGATCTCTCGGGCCATTCGTCAGCGCCGCAAATTGCGGCACCAGCACGATGAGCAGCAGCGGGACGGCCCAAAACAGCACGTGGAGTAAACGCCCCCTCCAATCAGAATGACCCTTCCACGTGTCACTAAAGTAATAATTTGAAGGACATTTGCCGTCGCCAACACCGTCACTGCCACCGCCACCGCCACCGCCACTGCCGCCGTCACTGCCGCCGCCACTGCCGCCACCACCGCCACCGCCATCACCATCACCATCGGCGTCGCCATTGCCGTATTGCTCGTTTCGGGCTCGTAGGGCGGCAGGTGAATACGGGCAGGCCCCGCACATCGCGCCGAGATCGTCGCCGCATATTGCGCCGTTTCTCGCGGGGGCACTCCCCGTCTGGCTGTCGAGCGCGGCGCCTCCTCCGTTCGGCACGGCATGCGGAAGGAGTGGACACTCAGACTCGTCCGCGGACCTTGCCGAAGGCATTAGAAAAGCCGTTTCCATGCTGCTGCTACTTACACGCCGTGGTGACTTTCTCTAGTGGACTAAAAAACAAAATGCTCCTGCTGCTTACGTCTCGCGATTTTTTAGGTAATGATTGTCAATGTCGAGCGAGGGTTTGATGGCTTGATTGAGACGCGCGCCCCGGACAGACATAGAAGTAGGAGCTAGTAGTTCGTCGATGAGGTGTGACTAAACGTCGAGTTGCTGCTGACTGAACCAGAATCAAGCATTTGATGTTCTGAAGGAGGAGAGGGGTTGCTGAATTTGGAAGGCGCTTGGGTCAAGTGAGGTTGGGGGCAGGGCACACTATCTTGGTGTTCGTCGCCCACATGCCGAATTCCCCTGCTAGAACCTGATTCCGACGCTTTTCCACCACAGCACTGTACAAGAATGGCATTTCGTGATGGCATTTCGACCTTGAAGATTGAAGCTGTTTCGCTTAGGGTTCCACCCACTCTGGTAAGTAATAGGAGACTACGCAACCGACCTGCCAGTCTGCATTATGTCCCCCAAATTGGGCAACTCAGAATCTAAAGGAGCAGAAATACTCCAAATAAATACAATTCCGTGTGGAGAAGTAGGTCCAAGGTTTCCGAACTTCGGTGGGACGCAATTTAGCAGAAGTCGAGTCGGATTGTGGTTGGGTTACTACCAGTCCTGAAATTTGCCAGCATTGCAACAGAAGTTCCTAGTGGGTTAGTTGAGACTTTTAGGCGTTTGGTTTTCAAACCCCCGTAGAAAGCTGCGAGGGTTCGGTATACACTACCTATGCCCTCTAGCACCGGTTACGACCGTGGTGTTTTTGCATTGTACGTGTATAGTGCATATTTCACCAACCAAAAAAAAAAAAAAAAAAACTCGAGTCGCGAGCGGTGCCGGGGAAAGGGCCGGCAGGCGTCGTACGGAAAATGGGGGGGAGAGGAGGAGCGAGGCGAGGAAAATTGGTGCTCCCCTGACTGCGGAGCGGCGGAGCAGCAGTCCCGTGACTGAGGCCGCGCAACCGCTGTGTTCGCGGAATATAGACAATCAATCATCCCGGCGCAGCGCTGTAAGCTGACGCTCTATCGAGTTTGCGGATGACAACAGCGAACTAGCGGCTCGCTCGTGGATGGATGGTGATGGTGAATTGGCATTCTGTAGTAGCACAGGCATTCGGCTTCTAGAAAATTGTTGCTGTGCTCAGTAGAACATAGATTTGCTAAAAAGGTTTTGTAAAGTTGGAGGCAACCGGTTTTACTGAATGAAATAAATATGGCACGGCTCAAAACAGCAGCATCCTATGCATCATTCCGCACATGGTCACTCAGTATGGCACCAAATTGGCAGCAAGGAAACCCACCAGGCCCGCTATGGGCCATGGCAGGCACGATAGAGCATGCATTATTACATGGGACGCATGGAACACTATACAAGAGGCAGTGGTAACGCTCCAGGACAATACAGCTGTTGTCCTTAAGGTCACTGAAAGCCTTTTCACGATATCAGTCACTACGTTTGTTTCTCATGGCATCATGGCATGCCTTCGTTGCACGGTCTCAGTCAGTGCTTTTTCATGGCTGAAGGTCTTATTCCACCCTCTGCATCGCTCGTCAGGTTGTTGAACGTGAAAACTTTTGTTTTCGCCCCGCCCGTCTCTCTTTACCACGCAGGGCCGCCAGATTCACCCCCCTGCAAGGGTTCCTGCAAGGCCTGGCGGAGTGGCGGCGGCAGCAGGGGCAGGGGGGAGGGGAGGGGAGCAACAAGGGGGAAGGGGCGCATGAAGAGGGGGGTTCGGCGGGAAGGCGGTTGAGGGGAAGGCAAAGGGGAGTGGAGGAGGGTGTATCTGCAGGAGAGGGTGTTTCTGCAGGGAAGGGTGTATCTGCAGGGGAGGGTGTATATGCAAAGGAGAGTGTGTCAGCTACAGCTCCCTTAGCCCGTGTGGTGCAAGCAGACACAAGGACTAGGGTGAGTGACCAACTTCTCTTCGGAATACTCGGGGACAGTAATGCTTTGCACTCTTTCTACACGCTCTGACATTTTACAGCTGAGGTTCGGCTACAGCCGAGGCTACGCTACAGCCGGAAAATACACCTCTAAAGCAAGGCTCCCTCCCCCCATCCCCCAATCCCCCATCCCCCAATCCCTACCCCCTCCACCTGCAGGCCAGCAGCTGGTCAGGAGCCCAGGACAGCAGCAGCATGCTCATCATTCCGTGTTTTGCAAGCACCCACATGAGCCATCCTCCACCACCCCCCTTCTCCCGCTCCCCATTTCCCCCAACACCCCATGAGCAGGCTATAGCCCAGGACGGCACCACCACGCTCTTCACTCAGTGTTTCGCAAGCCTCCCACATGAGCCTCCCACATGAGCCTCTCCCTCCCTCCCCCTCCTCTCCCCAACACCCCATGAGCAGGCTATAGCCCAGGACGGCACCACCACGCTCTTCACTCAGTGTTTCGCAAGCCTCCCACATGAGCCTCCCACATGAGCCTCTCCCTCCCTCCCCCTCCTCTCCCCAACACCCCATGAGCAGGCTATAGCCCAGGACGGCACCACCACGCTCATCACTCGGTGTCATGCCAGGTCCCACCTCTTCCCACATCCCTTATCCCCCCTTCCCTCCCCATCCTCCCTCCCTCTGCAGGCCATAGCGCAGGACAACAGCAGCACGCTCATCATTCGAGACGGCCACTATGGCTTCGAACCATGCCGGGGGAAGCGCAGCAACTGGCCCAACCTGGTAAGTGCATCTCCCTCTTTCCCTTCCTCTCCCCTCCGCTCCTCTCCACTCCTCTCCACTCCTCTCCGCTCCTCTCCGCTCCTCTCCTCTCCACTCATCTCCACTCCTCTCCTCTCCTCTCCTCTCCTCTCCTCTCCTCTCCTCTCCTCCCCTCTCCTCTCCTCGCCTCTCCTCCCCTCTCCTCTCCTCTCAACTCGTCTCCTCTCCTCTCCTCTCCACTCCTCTCCTCTCCTCTCCTCTCTTCTCGTCTCCTCTTCTCGCCTCCCCTCTCCTCTCCTCCTCTCTCTGCCTGCGCCACCCACCCACCAACCCACCCACCAACCCACCCATCCACCCATCCACCCACCCATCCACCCACCCACCCACCCACCCATCCACCCATCCACCCACCCACCCATCCACCCCCATCTACCCATCCACCCATCCACCCATCCACCCATCCACCCATCCACCCACCCATCCACCCACCCACCCACCCATCCACTTATCCATCCATCCACCCATCCACCCATCTTTTAATGACAGCGAGTCGACTACATCGCATCCAACGAGTCGGCCATCCTCTTCCGCCCCGAGCTGAGGGAACTAGCAGCCAACATGTCTCAATCTATGAATGCGGGGGATTACGATGCCGTGCGAGTGAGGAGAGGAGACAAGCTCAACACTGAAATGTGGCCGCACGTGGCAAACGACACGAGCCCTCCCTCGTAAGTCAACCTATGAAATGTCGACTCAAAACATAATGATACGAGCCCTCCTCCTGAGTAACTCAAGCCAACCACTCTATTGAAAACGAAGCTGTGTGGATTAACTACTGTGTGTACATTTACCACGGTTCATATTCCTGGAATGCAGAATCAAACGTTTCACCAAGTTGTGTTTTGTTACTTGTCTCTTCCCTCTTCTTTCACCGGTACAGTCTCCTGGAGAAGCTTCCCAGGTTCGTTGCACCTGGACGCACGCTGTACATTGCGACGAATGAGAAAACGCCAGGGTTCTTCGACCCGTTGAAGGCGATCTTTGCGATTCGGCAATTTCGGGACTTCGACCAACTCTGGGCGCCCGGCACGCCCTGGTTCGATGGATACGCGCGAATCCAGGGTTCGAATCCCAAGCTCGACCCTTACATGGAGGTACGTGCGTGGCTCGACAACCTCTGGGTGCCAGGCACGACCTGGTTCGACGGATACGCGCGAATCCAGGGTTCGAATCCCAAGCTCGACCCTTACATGGAGGTACAGTACACCCCGAGGCTTTTTTTTCATGGTATTAAGGTGTGAGGAGGGGGGGGGGTGGGGGGTTGTGTGTCTGTCTGTGTCCGTGTGTCTGGGAAGGAAGGGGAGGCGGGTTGGGGTGTGTTGTGTGTGTGGGTTGTGCGTGCGTGCGTGGTGTGTGAGCGTGCGCGCGCGCGTTTGTCCTTGTGAGTCTTGGTGAGTTTAACCACCTCCTTTTCTTGTTTTTCCTCGCCTTGCCTGGTGCTACAGGCCATTGTGGGGTACAAGGTTTCGCTTGCCGCTGTGTGTGCGTGTGTGTCCGGGTGTGTCTAACCCGCCAACTTATCTTTACCTGTTTTCCCTTGTGCCGCAGGCCATTGTGGAGTACAAGGTTCTGTTTGTGGTCGGGTTGGGAAATTTGGGGAGGGTGCTCTGGGGGACGGTCTTACCTGAGGGAGGGGAGATCGTAGTAGTGATGCAGGCCTTGAAAACTCGCATTCCCGCCATTGTGCATTTTGTTAATGCACAACCCCGTATCGAGTACAAGCGTGCGATTCAGAAAAGCCGCTTCTGCGATCTTGCACGACAGGCTGCGATGGAAGTGGCGAATTCCCACACAGAAGTCGCGCTGCCCGGTAACAAAGTAATATTTTTCGTCTGGACGAAAGTAATCTTCTCGCCGAACTGGTATCCACTTCGCCTCCCAGGTAAATCTCGTGTCCACATGAAGTTACTTCAGAACCCTTGGCGGACTCCACGTCACCCAGAGTTCGGTGTTCCAATTCCGCAAGTAAGTCTTCCGCGTCCCTTTCCCGCGTTTCGGACTCTGTTGTCGCGCGGTTCGGCGCGCTTTCGTCTCGCGCGCTCGCGTTGTTCTTACGCTCCGCGTCGTGGTTACCAGTCGCCTGATTCGGTTCGCTAGCTTCGCGAGACGAAGTCGCCGCCGATTCAACAACAGCGGGAGGTTCCCTGTGTGGTTCCGCTTCGTCTATCTCCGATTTATTCTCCGAATTCCTTAGACTTTCGCTCTGCCTTCCGCCATTCTCGTCCACATCCTCATTCTCCGCAACCCCCGCATCCTCATTTTCCGCAACCCCTGCATCCTCATTTTCCGCAACCCCCGCATCCTCATTTTCCGCAAACCCTGCATCCTCCCCCACGGGAACACCCGCATCCCCCTCTTCCGCCACATCCCCCGCCTCCCCTTCCGCTATAATTCCGCTCTCCGTTAACCCCGCTCTCTTCCCCGCGCCCCCTTCTGCATCTGTATACGCCACTTCCGCCACATCCCGCACCGCTGTCGCATCAGGTTCCGTTTCAGTCTCAGTTACCGCCTCGGTTCCCGCTTCCGTTAACGTCTCCGTTACCGTTCCGCTCTCCTTCTCAATCTCCGCCATCACACCCCCCTCGCCTCCCACTCTTACGCCTCGCGGGAAGCCAACGAGCCGCGTGAGATCTCTCGGGCCGCTCGTCAGCGCCACAAGTTGCGGCACCAGCACGATGAGCAGCAGCGGGACGGCCCAGAACAGCCCGCGGAGTAAAATCCTCCTCCAATCAGAATGTCCTCTTTTCCAGATTAACGCCACGTCAGCGAGCTTCCACGAGTCACTGCAGTGCTCACCTAAAAAAGTGTTTGAAGGGTATTGAACGTCGCCAACCCTGGCACCGCCACTGCCACCGCCATCACCGTCGCCATCACTTTTTTCGTTGCAGTCTAGATCTTCTCGGGCTCTAAATGCAGTAGACGCATATGTTGATGCCCCACACATTGCGCCGTTTCTCGCGGGGTCACTCCCAGCCTGGCTGTCAAGCGCGGCGGCTCCTTCGTTCGGCACTGCATGCGGAAGGAGTGGACACTCAGACTCGTCCTCGGACCTTGCCGGAGGCACTGAGATATCCCTTTCCATGCTCCTGCTACTCACGAGGCGTGGTGACTTTGTAGTGGTATAAACAAGTATTCTCCTGCCACACACGTCTCCCGACTTATTAGCGAGCTTGATTGAGATGCGAGGCCCAGACAGAGTAGGAGCCTAGTATGATTCGTCTATGAGGCGCGACTAAACAACGACCTGCTGTTGCTGGTCCAGACCAGACATAGCAATTGAGGTACTGTGCTGTACTAATGAGAAGAAAGGTAGGATGAGAGGGGCTGAATTCGAAAGGCGCTTGAGTCAAGAGAGACTCGACCCGACATTTGCCGAAACGTTTTTCGTTCGGGGCACACCATCTCAAAAGTTTTTAGTGCCAGGTGTCATTCTGTACGTCTATTTCCCCTGCCAGAACCTGAATTTGATGGCTACGCCCGAATTACAAGTACGGTAGAGAACGTGAAGATTGAGGTTGTTTCTGAACTCGAAAGAGTGAAAATACCATTAAAACAATTACATGTGGGAAAGTAGTACCAGGTATCTGAGCTGGTGCCTCGACTTCGAAACGCCTCGCGTCGCGAAAGGGGCAAGATCGGGGGGCGGGCAGACAGGCGTGCGGAAAATAGGTGAGGGGCGAGGCGATGATGCTTGCCCCAATGAGCGGCGGAGCACCAGGGCCAGCCAGCCATGCCTGCGGCCGCGCAAATCATCGCGGTGCGGGAAGCCGACGCTCTATCGAGTTCGCAGGTGATAAAAGCGAACTGACGGCTCGCTCGTGGATGGATGAATCCACGTCGCCGTTTTAAGAATCCCCGCCAGTATTGCAGGCTCTGCTTTCTCCTCGTTTTACTAGATATACATGAGACACAAAATGAATGCCTGATTAAATCATTTTGTAAAGTTATCCTGAAAGATAGGAAGAGGTACGAGCTAATAAAAGCAACCGCCCACAGACAGAATCATGTCATACTGGATGTATTTTGGCCGAAACAAGAGCCCCTCCAACCGCTGGCCGTCAACTTTTCGTCAGGCGGTTGAATGCCTCCGACTCTTCGCCTTCGCTTGTCCCCACAACCGTTTCCACCTGGATTGGGCGAAACTTACCTTTCCGCAGCGAGGCTGGTATCTTGGTTACTTTTTGCATAATAGTTCTCTAACCGTCTTCGCGACCTAGAAGTTGCTGCAGCACGCCCCTTGCCTGACCAACCAACCAACCCACAGAGGCTGCAGAAACAAGCTTAGGAACAGTGCAAGCACTAACTCGAACTGCACACTTTCATGATCCATCCATGGCTCCCTGAGCCTGACATTGCCTTGCCGCTAGTCCGGGTCTGGTTTCATCATTTTCCAAAACAATTCGGGCAACTGATTTCGCGAGGGAACACCGTTGGCATTGTGGCCTGGAGTCGCCTAGCCTTCTATCCAGTCGCTATGCCGGCCATTTGGGTGCGTACAGGTCATAGCTATATTTGATCAATTAGGGTTCGCGATCCCGCTTGTTTATCCAAACATTCTCCTGCAGCACGGGAGCGCACTGCACCGCAAAATCGAATCGCGTTGCCGTTGTTTTAAAGAATGCGTCTGTCTGAAAAAAGGCATTTCGGTGGTGTTTAAGAAGCATAGTACCTTAGGGTAACTGGTTACTCCGGAGGTTTCCTGTCGCTTCAGCATCTATCCTCTGGAATAGCAACGTCTTATTCACGTCTTCTAATTATTCAGGGACGTTGCAGCCGTGACTGCGCAGCCTGAAACTAGCTTCATAGGTTATTAATTTTCCTGGATTATTGGCCATGCTGTCGTTCCTTTGTGACTGAACGAACTTCATGTGTCGTCAGTGGAATCAACCAATCTGTAGCTTTAACTCAGGATATTTCGGATTTTCGTTTCTATCTCTTCCTAAGCAACCTTATTCTGTCTGTTCCGCCGCCGAATGTCGCAGAGTGGGGGACGATTGAGAAGCAGCAATTAACGGCAGCGTACCAGTCTGGGGCACACAAGGTAGGAACCTGAAAGCTCTCTAAGAAGGCTGTCAGTGGTGGAACGAAGCTAGTGGCTCTGGTTATTCACCAGCCATAAGCGGGAATTTGTCACATCGTAAGTGTCTCTCCTGCTGTCGGTGCCAATTAAAAATGTCTTAGAATGAGCTTATTCAGTTCCCATTGCTGTTATATATCAATTTACAATATCGGCCGTTGTTGCCACCTTACACAAGCATAACAAAACCTATCCTGTTTTTTTTTTTTTTTTTTTTTTTTTTTTTTTTTCGCTTGTTCATGCTTTCTGCTCGGTCCCCGCTGGCTCTCTACTTTTCAGAAGGCCTCGGTAATGCCGGCCGTAGCTGCGGTCTCTGCTCCGCATCCTCCTTCCCTTGACCAGCCTGCCAGCATCGTCGTCCCTGGCGCCCCTGCCAGCATCGACCCTGGCGCCGCATCTGAGGCTTCGCAAGAACTTTCCGCGCTACAGCATTCCGCGATACAGCCGTACGCGTTAGAACGTTCAACGCTACAGTGCTCGGCGCTAGACCCTTCCCTTCGCGATTCCGCCCTGGACCCATCCTTTCCGGCAGCAGCTTCAGGGGCAGCATCAGGAGCAGTAGAGAAGGTAACAGCCGCAGAAACAGAAGCAGAAGCAGCAGCCGAAGTAGGAGCAGCAGCAGGAGCGGCAGGCGGAGGGGCGGCCGCAGAACCACCTAATCCCCCAGCCGCAGAGAGCAGCGCTGAGAGCAGCGCTGCAGGCGCGGTCGTGGCGGGGGAGGCGGCAGCCACTGCGGAAGCACTCGGCGGCGCAGAGGCAGGGGGGGGCGGATCAGGGGCGCAAGGCGCAGCGGGGCAGGGGTCGGGGGAGCAGGAGGGAGGAGGGGTGGGAGGGCAAGGGGTGCACGAGGCCGTGACCGGGGCACAAGGGGCAGGGGAAGCCAACGGAGCAGGGGGCGCGGGAGCAGGGGGGGCAGGGGGAGCAGGAAGGGGGGGACCCGGGGGCGAGGGAGCAGTGGAGCCAGAGCAGCAGCTGGCGGAGGCGTGGCAGCGCGCGTTGGATGAGGCGGAGGTGGAGATCCGCAAGCAGGCTATTGAGAACGAATTTCTGCGCTCCCAGCTGCGCGTGCTCGAATGGCAGATGAGCAACGGAGTGAGCACTCTCATCGAATCGCACCCCCACATCAACCCCGCTTCCACCTACCTCCTTCCAAACTTCCCCCCACCTTTCCCGTCGCTTTTCTGGGCCTCGCCCATCTCTCTTCCCCACCCACCTGTCTCTCTCCACTCTCTTTTCAGTCGACTCGAAACTGGCTTTTTTTGTCACTTCTGCCCTTCCTCTGACCTCCTTTCCTTAACCACCTCATAGGCCCAAGAATGGTGATCTTATGAGAAATTTCGGAAGTCAATTGGTCAGGAGTAGCAGGTGTGAGCGCTTTTAACGGCCCTGCCAGGAGTACTGATCATACTTGACGCGTCTCACCACCCTTCTCCTTGCTCCTCCCCCTTGCTCCTTCCCCTTGCTCCTCTCCTTGCTCTCCCCTTGCTCTCCTGCCTCTTCCCCCCGCCGCCACCCCCCTCTCCTCCCCTCCCCCCACTCCCCCAGGCGCTAGCAAGTTCCGCGCCTCCTGACGTGGACGGGCTGCTCTCCCCTTCCTCCGCGCGCCTTCCCCCTTCCGCCAGTACAGGCGCGGGGCTCAGTCCAGGCTTATCTGGGGCAGGTGCAACTGTTGCAGGCGTAGCAGGGGCGGGCGCTTCTAGCGGCCCTCTAGGCGGCTATAGCGGCGTTTTAGGCGGAAGTCCGCAGATAGTGGGGTTAGGCGGAGCAGCAGCAGTGGGTACTGGTGGTGCTGCTCCTGCTGTAGTGGGAATAGGTGGGGCTGAAGGGGCAGTAGGGGGAGGGAGAGGCGGAGGGATCATGGCTGCTGTAGCAGCAGCTGTAGCGCCAGGAATGGCTGGTGGTAATGGTGGTGGAATGGGAGGGCTGTTGGGATCCGATCAGGTGGTTTCTGGGGAAGGTGGTATTGGGAATTTTGGCGGGATGGTAGGGGACGGAGGAGGAGGGGGAGGAGTGGGAGGAGGAGTGGGAGGAGTGGGAGGAATGGGAGGAATGGGAGGAGGAGGGGGAGGGGGAGGGGGAGGAGAGAAGGACTTGGAAGCAGCTCTGCTAGAGCGACTGCTACAGAAGCTGTCTGTGAATGGATCTCTGGCTGCTGCTGTGGCGCAAGCAGCAGGGGGAGGCGGAGCTGGGGGCGGCGCAGGGGGAGGGGGAAGGGGGGAAGGAGGGGGACTGGGGGCAGTAGGGGAGGGTGGTGTAGCGAATGGGTTGATGAACGGAGGGGCGGGGGGCGGGCTGACTGGGCATGTGCTGGATGGGGAGCGTGATAGCCTTGCGTTGACTCCCTTTGACCAGCAGTCGCTGACTGTGCACCCCTCCAACTCCACGTCATCACGCCAGCTGAATTCTCTGCAGGTGAGATAGGAGTGAGGAGAGTGGATATAGAGAAGAGAGCAGTAGAGACAGCTTACAATCGAACTTTTAAATTTAGTCTCGTTATTGTCATCATGTGAACCCATGCCAAAAATTTTATAAAAGAAGATGCTCCTGATTTTTTCTCCCTCCCTCTCTCGAGCTCTCTCTCAAGCATTTCCTTCTATCCTCTCTGCTTGTACCAGCCCTTCACGTTTTGAGTCGACTCAAAACACGACTTATTACACGCGGATTTTTCTCCCGCCCTCTCTCTCTCTCTCACGCTTTTCCTTCTATCCTCTCCGCTTGTACCAGCCCTTTGCAAACGACCTGACTCGGTCAACGGGCGGGGCGGCAGCGTCCGGCCCTAGCGGGTCGGCGGCGGGCGGCGGAGACAGGTCTGTGAACGTGGGCGAGCTGATGCAGCGGGTGGCGTCGCTGGAGGAGCAGGTTCGCAGCAAGGACAAGCTGCTGGCTGCTGCCCAGGCGCGGGTGAGTTCACTCTGCAACATGCATGCTGTTAACGCCAGCACCAAGCAGGGGTGAAGTCCTTGCTTCGAACCAAGCAGGTTCGAAGCAAGGACAAGCTGCTGGCTGCTGGCCGCTGCTGCCCAGACCCGGGTGAGTTGCCAGGAGGCAAGGCAAGGTAAGTTCCTCCTCAGAAGAATCATTGGCCTCAGTGCGCGCATTTGCTTCCTCCTATTCTTTTGTAAGGTCCGATTTCACACTTATATTATATGCCTGCTCCCCTCGTTCCTACCCTTCCCCCCTGTTCAACCTATCCCACCCCTCTCCTCCCCCGCCTCCTTCTCCTCCTCCCCTCCTTTCCCCTACCACCTCTCCTCTCCCCCCCCTGTCTCCCCTGCTGTGTATCAATCCTGTGTGCGGTATCACCTGTGCAGGAGGCACAGCTGCAGGCAGAGAAGCGGTCTCTGGAGCGCAGGATGTCAGAGCTGCGACTGGTGAGACCCTCACCTCACTGCACCTCACCCCACCTCACTTCACCGCCCCTCACCTCACAGCATCTCACCTCACCATGCGCATCATACGCATCACTTCTTCAGGAGTCTATGAGATATGCTAGTTGCTGTCATGTGGTATTCGCATCGCATCGCATCGCATCGCATCGTGTCACATTCACACTCACATCGTGTCACATTCACACTCACATCGTGTCACATTCACACTCACATCGTGTCACATTCACACTCACATCGTGTCACATTTACACTCACATCGTGTCACATTCACACTCACATCGTGTCACATTCACACTCACATCGTGTCACATTCACACTCACATCGTGTCACGTTCACACTCACATCGTGTCACGTTCACACTCACATCGTGTCACGTTCACACTCACATCGTGTCACATTCACACTCACATCGTGTCACGTTCACACTCACATCGTGTCACGTTCACACTCACATCGTGTCACATTCACACTCACATCGTGTCACATTCACACTCACATCGTGTCACATTCACACTCACATCGTGTCACGTTCACACTCACATCGTGTCACATTCACACTCACATCGCACAGAGCAGCAGGCCTTTGACGTGCAGCAGCAGAAGCTGATGGGGTCTGTCTGTCTCACTTGTGAGACGTCTTATAGCCTCCTCCCCTATTCCTCGTTCCCAACCCCGCTTTCACATACACATACACATACACATACACATACACATACACATCACATTCACATTCACATTCACATTCACATTCACATCGCATGGACCAGGCATTCGACGGGCAGCAGCAGAACCTGATGGGGTCCGTCTGACTTGTGCAACGCCTCATAGACGCCTCCCCTATTACACATTTTCCATTCCGAAATTCCCTGTTCACATTCACATCACATCGCACATCACAGGCGTTTGACGGGCAGCAGCAGAACCTGATGGGGTCGGCCCAGAAGGCCATGGGGTACCGCCGGGACGTGCTGGAGGAAAACGTGCGCCTGACCCGCGCGCTGGAGGTGTGTGCCTTGAGCAGTTCAGTGCAGTGCCCTGGGGCCTGGGGGGAGTGTGTGGTAGACCGAGCCTCATGCAGCACACCAGAAGGCCATGGGCTACCGGCGCGACGTGCTGGAGGAGAATGTGCGCCTCACGCGCGCGCTGGAGGTGCGTGCTGGAGGTGCGCGCTTTATTGGAGTGACTTTTGAGAATTCTCAAAAGTCACTCCAATATCGCTGGAGGTGCGCGCTGGAGGTGCGTGCTGGGGGCATTGTGTGTGCTCTTGAGGTGCATGCCATGCCTGCTGCTGTGTGCTGTGTGCTGGGCTCTAGAGTTGCCTGCCGCGAGTAGGGAGGAAGGCCATGGGGTACCTCCGTGACGTGCTGGAGGAGAACGTGCGCCTCACGCGCGCGCTAGAGGTGGGTTCTGTGAGATGTGTGCCATTGAGGTACATGTGATGTGCTGGGAAGAGAGTGTGGTGTGGCGGGTAGAGCCTCATGCAGCCCACCAGAAGGCCATGGGGTACAGCCGCGACGTGCTGGAGGAGAACGTGCGCCTCACGGCACAGCACAGCACACACCTCTCAAGACTCTTGATCATGAGTCAAGAGCACAAGCAAGGCGCACATTCCCCTCCTCCCTCCAGCACATCCCAGAGGTACCCACCCCATGGCCTTCCTCCCTATTCCTGGCACGCACCTCAAGAGCACATCACATGTCAAACGCACCTCTCAATCTCAAGCGCACAAGTGAGGCGCACATTCCCCTCCTCCCTCCAGCACATCCCAGCCAGAGGTACCCCATGGCCTTCTGGTGTGCTGCATGAGGCTCAATCCACCACACACTCCCCCCAGGCCCCAGACCACAGCACTGCTCAAAACACGCACCTCCCCCTCTCTTTCCCCTCACTCCTCTCCCTCGCTCCTCTCTCCCGTATCCCCCTTTTCTTCCGGCCACCGGAGCACGACCGCATACTCTTCATCGCCACGCTCTCACTCTGCTTCCATGTGACCCATGCTCCCTCTCCCTCCTTCCCCTCCCTTTTTCTCCCCCCCCAGCGAGCGGAGCATGACCGCATGCCATTCATCACTATGCGCATACACCCTCTCTCCCCCTGCACTCCAACTTCCTCTCTTCCCCCCCCCTTCCCCCCGCAGCGAGCGGAGCATGACCGAATGCTATTCATCAGCACGCTCACGCCGCTAGCAGGGGAGTTTGGCCTCTCTGCCACCGCCTCTGCTGACTCTCACCACATGCTGCTCTCCGTCAAGGTGGGCTCTCTAAGTCAAGGTGCGTGCCCCAAGTCACGTCAAGGCAAGTCTTGTTGCATCATCATCTCATATCACGCCACTAGCAGGGGAGTTTGGCCTCTCCGCCACCGCCTCTGCTGACTCTCACCACATGCTGCTCTCCGTCAAGGTGGGTGGCTCATGTCAAGTTTGGTAGCTCGTATCAAGGTGGGTCCTGTCAGAAAGCCTCACTTCACTCCTGCTTTTGTGATTTAGGTGTGTTTTGACAGATTTAGAAATACAGCTACTACTCACAGAAAGGCATGCCTAATGCCTCCTCGCTTGTCTTCATGCTGAATCACAACTCACTCACTCACTCACTCATCATCACTCTCTGCTTTCTCCCCTTGCTTCGCCCTCCTCCCATGCGTCTCTGCTGCACTCTCCCCTCTCGCTCTGTGATGCCAGTCTGTGCTGCAGCAGCTGCTCACCCGAACCACTCGCAGCAACGAGGTACGCCTTCCTTCTTTCCCCACTTCGCTGCACATGTTGTGAGCTCTGTTCGAATCGGTTTCGTTCAGCTCCGTTCGATCTAATTTGGTTTGGTACGGTTCGATGTGGTTCGGTTGCACTGCAGTTGGGTCCCAATTCGCGGTTTATGTCGGATCAACGTCCCTCCCTTCACTCACTATCCCACTCGCAATGCTGTCCTCATTTCAAACCCACACTCACTACCCACCCCTCGCCCCTTCCTCCCAGCCCCTCTCTCCTCCCCGTTTCTTTCGGCACTACCAGTCCCACCCTCTCTCCTCCCCGTTTCTTTCGGCACTACCAGTCCCACCCTCTCTCCTCCCCGTTTCTTTCGGCACTACCAGTCCCACCCTCTCTCCTCCCCGTTTCTTTCGGCACTACCAGTCCCACCCTCTCTCCTCCCCGTTTCTTTCGGCACTACCAGTCCCACCCTCTCTCCTCCCCGTTTCTTTCGGCACTACCAGTCCCCCCCTCTCTCCTCCCCGTTTCTTTCGGCACTACCAGTCCCCCCCTCTCTCCTCCCCGTTTCTTTCGGCACTACCAGTCCCCCCCTCTCTCCTCCCCGTTTCTTTCGGCACTACCAGTCCCCCCCTCTCTCCTCCCCGTTTCTTTCGGCACTACCAGTCCCCCCCTCTCTCCTCCCCGTTTCTTTCGGCACTACCAGTCCCCCCCTCTCTCCTCCCCGTTTCTTTCGGCACTACCAGTCCCACCCTCTCTCCTCCCCGTTTCTTTCGGCACTACCAGTCCCACCCTCTCTCCTCCCCGTTTCTTTCGGCACTACCAGTCCCCCCCTCTCTCCTCCCCGTTTCTTTCGGCACTACCAGTCCCACCCTCTCTCCTCTGCTCCCGCCCACGCGTTGTCAGCCCATCTCCCACGCTCTACGGCACCACCGACCCCACGCTCTACGGCACCACAGACCCCACCCTCTCTGCTCTGTGCTGCCCTTGTTGTTTTTATTCACTCTTCCTCACCGTCTCCCCTCCAACCTCCCCCCCCCCCCCTTGCAGCAGGGCGGGCTGTCACCCCCCCTCCCCACGCTATACGGCACCACAGACCCCACGCTCTCTGCTCCTTGTTGCCCTTGTTTCTCCTCACCGTCTTCCCTCCCATCCTCCCCTCCCCTTGCAGCAGGGCGGGCTGTCAGCCCCCCACCCCACGCTCTACGGCACCACAGACCCCACCCTCTCTGCTCTGCTCTGCCCTGCCCCCGCATATTGCCCCTTTGTCCCCCCTGTTCTTTTCCAGCAGGGCGGGCCGTCACCCCCTCTCCCAACACTCTATGGCACCACAGACCCCACCCTCTCTGCTCTGCTGCTCGCCAGTGGCGCCAACCCCCACAGCACCTCCCTCGCACCAAACCCCCTCTCTTCCGCTGCCGCGCTCTCTGCTGCTGCTTCGCCTCTCCGTGCCTTGGCTGGGCTGATGCCTCCTGCGTCTGCACCTGCGGGTGGTGATCCTCTGCTGCTGCGGTGAGTGTGCCATTGTAACGAGGTGACTTTTGAGTCGACTCAAAAGTCCTCTCCGTGCCTTGGCTGGGCTGATGCCTCCTGCGTCTGCACCTGCGGGTGGTGATCCTCTGCTGCTGCGGTGAGTGTGCCATTGTAACGAGGTGACTTTTGAGTCGACTCAAAAGTCCTCTCCGTGCCTTGGCTGGGCTGATGCCTCCTGCGTCTGCACCTGCGGGTGGTGATCCTCTGCTCCTGCGGTGAGTGCTCGTGATTCTTTCATGCTCATGCTGCCGCCCCTTGGCGGTTGTTCAAAGCTCCTTCGTTGCTGCTCGCTCGCTGTGCTGCCTGCCTGCCGCCTCACCTCTTTTGTTTGAGGTTGATTTTGAGAATTCTCAAAATTCGCCTCACCTCTCCAAGCCTGCATGAGGGAAACCTGCTGCCTTCGCTTTGCTGGTGACCCCTCTGCTGCTGCACCCACCTGCACCTGCGCCTGCTGCTGCTGATCCTCTGCTGCTGCGGTGAGTGCTCTAGACTCTTTCATGCTCATGCTGTGCTGAAAGCTCCTTTGCTGTGGCTCTCTCTGCTGCTGCCTCGCCTCTCCGTGCCTTGGCTGGGCTGGTGTCCCCTGCTGCTGCTGCACCTGCATCTGCTACTGCTGATCCTCCGTTGCCCTTTTCCTTCCCCACTGACAATCAAGGCGCCTCCTTATCTGCAGCATACTTTGCCCAGCTCCCTCTCCTATCTCCCTCCCGTCTCTCTTCTCTCCACGCTTTTCTCTCCTCTCTTCACTCTCCTCACTTTTTCCTCCCCTCCGCCCCATGCTCCCCCATGCCCGCCTTTGCCCAGTCTTGCACTTGCGCAAGCAGGTTACGACCCTGCCTACCTTTCAGCCACAACAGCAGCAGCAGCGGGCACACATTCTTTACACTCTGCTCTGCACCCGGCCACAGCTCTCCCCCCCATCTACGCCTCACCCACAGCCTATCCTACCTTGCAGCTTCCGCAGCAGCTTTTGCTGGGCTCGGCCCCTCAACAGCAGCAGCAGCTGCTGCTCCAGCAGCTTTTGCAGCAACAGCAGCAGCAGTCGTTGCAGCAGCCGGCGCAGCAGCAGCAGCTGCAGCTGCTGCAGCAGCTCGTGCAGCAACAGCAGCAGCAGCAGCAGCAGCAAGTGCAGCAACCAGTGCCGCAGCAGCCTCCTCTTCAGCAGCAAATGCTGCAGGCACCACAGCAGCAGCAGTGGCAGCAACAGCCGCCAATGCAGCAGCAGCAGCAACAAGTGCCGCCACAACAACAATGGCAGCAGCAGCAACCCCCACAGCAGCAGCAGCAGAACCAGCAGCAGCATTACATGGGTCAACAGCAGCAGGTGCCACAGCAACAGTACCACCAGCAGCAGCAGTACCAGCAACCGCAGCAGCACCAGCAACAGTACCAGCAGCAGCCGCAGCCACAGCAGCAGCAACAGCAGCAATACCAGCAGCAGCCACAGCAGCAGCAGCAGGCGGGTGGGTTCAACCCCATGGAGCCTGAAATGTCACTCAAAGGCGGGTTCATCCCTGCTGCTGCTGCTTCCTCTGCTGCTCCCGCTCCTCCTGCTGCTCCGTCTGCTTCTGGCTCTCCCATCCCTCCCGGAGCGTCCACCAACCCTGGTGCTTCTGGCGTCTTTCCCCTTGATTCTGCTTCTATGGGAGCTTCTATGGGGAGCGGAGCAGGAGTGGGGGTGATGCAGCAGCAGCAGCAGCAGCAGCAAGGGGGGATGGAAGGGGTGGGGAGTGTGGGCATGGGGCAAGGGCAGGCGATGGGGTATGTGGGAGGGGAGGGGGCTGCGGGAAGCATAGGGGGACCTGGGGCGAGCATGGGAGGCGCGGGTGACCCTGCTGCTAGCTGGGGTGGTGGATTGGCACCGATCCGTGAGGATGACGGTGAGTGGGTGTTGGTGGAAGTAAAGGGTATGAGGTTGGTTGAGTGTTGGAGGGATGGGCATGAGGAGGAGTCGTAGGTAAAAGACTGATCAACCCAGCTCGCACCCTGCTGCTAGCTGGGGTGGCGGATTGGCACCGATCCGTGAGGATGACGGTGAGTGAGGGTGAAGATGAGGGTATGAGGGTGACGGTCAGTCAGTGTTGGTGGCATGGGGATGAGAGGGTGAGTGTTGGAGGCATGAAGATGAGAGGATGAGTGCTTGAAGGCTTGGAGATGAGAGGATGAGTGTTTGAAGGCATGGAGATGAAAGGGTGAGTGTTTGAAGGGGAGATGAGAGGATGAGTGAGCGTTTGCTGACTATTCATTCCACCCTTTTGATTCACTTGAACTCTGCCCCCCTTGCAGGCCCAAGCCAAGTGTTGGCATGCTTCCTTCCTCCTTTCAACACCATTTCCATTCCAACTCTCTCCAACGCTTTCCTACGTTCTGGTTGCAGGGCAAGGCTTGGCAACTCAGCAGCAGCAGCAGCAGCAGCAGCAACCGCAGCAGCAGGAATACCAGCAACAGCAAGAGTACCAGCAGCAGGAGTATCAGCAACAGCAGGATTTCGCAGGGCAGGGTATGAACGAGGGTGGTGGTGGTGGTGGTGCGGACCCCACTGGCAGCACCATTGATTCTCAGTACAACCCCAGCTTGGATTCCTCTCAGCAGCAGCACAGCTTCCATCTGGAAGGGCAGCAGCAGCAGGTGGTGCAGCAGTATGCACAGGACGACTACCAGCAGCAGCAGCAGCAGGATTTTCAGCAGCAGCAGCAGCAGGAATATCAGCAGCAGGAGTACCAGCAGCAGGACTATCAGCAGCAGCAGCAGCAGCAGGAATACCAGGGGCAGGAGTATCAACAGCAGGAATATCAGCAGCAGGAGTACCAGCAGCAGGAGTATCAGCAGCAGGAGGTGGGAGGGGAAGGTGCAGGGCAGCAGGAGGCAGCGGGGGAAGGGCAGGCAGGAGAGGGGGAGGAGGGGCAGGGGGAGGAGGAGGGGGAGGAGCTACTGCCGGGGATAGAGGGGCTGAGGGTGATAGGAGACGCGGCCATGGGAAATAAGCTCACTGCGTGCGGTCATTCAGTGAACGGCACCAAGCTCTGTGTCTTCCAGGTAACTGTTGAGTTGAGTCGGCTCAATGATAGAGTTGGTGCAGAGGATAGAGGGGCTGAGGAGGGTGATAGGGGACGCGGCCATGGGGAACAAGCTCACTGCCTGCGGGCACTCGGTCAACGGCACCAAATTATGTGTCTTCCAGGTAATTTGTGAGTTGGCTGAGTGATACACGGGACTTGTGTGACAGGAGATGCGGACAGAGGGTGATAGAGGGGCTGAGGGTGATAGGGGACGCGGCAATGGGGAACAAGCTCACTGCGTGCGGCCACTCAGTCAACGGCACCAAACTCTATGTCTTCCAGGTAATGCAACTGTTTTCAGATGGCCATCTTTCTATATTTTCTTTCTTCCCCCGTCCGCTCGGTTCTGCCATTCGGCCCTCCCTGCCCTTATCATTGTGCTCCCCCCGTCCGCTCGGTTCTGCTCTTCGTTACCCTCTGTTTTATCTCATCTTTCGGCTCTCGCTTTCCGCTATCTTATACTATCTGTGCTCTCTACTCCCTACTCTCTGCCCTCTCCTCTCCTCTCCTCTCTCTGCTCTCTGCTCTCTGCAGTGGGTGCGGCAATACCAAGATGGCACTGCTGAGTTTATCGAAGGTAAGCCTCTCACCACCCAGCCCTCTCTCTCTCTCCTCACCCGCAGATGAATGTTGTTTGCAAAGTCTTTTCACAAGAAGCGTCTCCTGCGTATGTTTTTTGAGAATTCTCAAAAAACATACGCTGTTCTCCATAAGCACATGGTTGTAAGGGCAATGTCAATGTTAGGATTTTTGAGGCGCCTAAAAAAAACTCCTGCAATGTTCTCCATAAGCACATGGTTGTAAGGCAATGTCATCCATTGCCCGCCTCACTCACTGTTAGTTCGTTGAAGTTAAAGCCTCACCTCACTCACTCCCAACCCAGGCCTCTCTCCCTCTCTGTATCTCTCCCAGTCGCGCTCTCACCCGCTCACCCTTCCCTCACCTTTCCTTCTTACCCCATTCCACCTCCCCAGGAGCGTCATCACCCGAGTATGACGTGTCAGCAAACGACTGCAACGCCATCATCGCTCTCCTCTCTTGCACCCACCCACGTTCCCACTCATCCTTCCCCGTACCTCACTTCATATTCCCCCCTCCCCCGTTCCCGCTCTCCCTCCCCCTCCCCTTCTTCCACCCCAGGAGCGTCATCACCCGAGTATGCCGTGTCAGCGGACGACTGCAACACCATCATCTCTGTGCTCTCTCCCTCTCACCCATTCCCCTGCCTGCCCACCCATTCCCCACTTTTACTCGCTTGCCTGCCCCATTTCTTTCCCTCTCCAGGAGCGTCATCACCCGAGTATGCCGTGTCAGCTGATGACTGCAACGCCATCATCGCTGTGGAGTGTGTGCCGCTGGACGAGGCAGGCAGAAGGGTGAGTGTGTGTTTGGGGGGCGGTGAGTGAGGGTGAGAATGAGTGCATGCGTGCATTCATGTGTGACCGGTGGTGTCAGCTGATGACTGCAACGCCATCATTGCAGTGGAGTGTGTGCCGCTGGACGAGGCAGGCCGGCGGGTGAGTGCGTGTGCTAGGGGGGGAGGGGGGCGGAGTTGGTCCTCTTGGTACCTGCACGAATGACTGCAACGCCATCATCGCAGTGGAGTGTGTGCCGCTGGACGAGGCGGGCCGACGGGTGAGTGTGAGGGAGGAGAAGGGTGAGGGGAGGGGGAGGAGGAGTGCTGGTGGTGCTAGTGGTGCTGGTTGCACGAATGCACGCTGATGACTGCAATGCCATTATTGCGGTGGAGTGTGTGCCGATAGATGGGGCAAGCAGGCGAGTGAGTGCGCTCTTGGAAGGGGAGGGGGTTGGTGGTATCATGCTGCCACATCATGCTGTCATGTCATGCTGCCACATCATGCTGCCACATATCATGCTGTCATATCACTTCATGGCATGCATGTGTGCCCGTATATCTGTTCCTCAACACCTGTTATGCCTGTCCGTCCTGCCTCTCACCCCTCTCCTGCCTTTCCTGCATGCAGGGGGAGTTGTCTCGAGTGGTGGTCAATGAAGGCAACTTGATCCAACTCGGTAAGAGCACAACCTGATACAAACACCACTGGATACAACTCGGATGGTCCAGCTCGGTAAGAGCACAACAGCCTCATAATCACACACCCTGATACTTGCAACCACTACTTTTAGTAACATACGGAACCTTGTGAAGGCACAACTTGTTAAGATCACCACTTGACAAAAGCACCTAAGGCGTGGTGGCTGGCGGAGCCTCTATTTGTTCGCTGCCCTATTTGGTGCTACCTCCTCTGTTATTCCCTCTCTCATCTTCCCTCTCCTTCATCTCATCTCTCTCCACATCGCACAGAGCCCACGGTGCAGGACACACTAGCAGGATGGCTGGCAGAGGGGACCACCCAGTTTGAAGCCACCCTCGTGGTATGCTGTCATGTGGTGTGCCGTCACTGCGCTCGCGGTACCGCACGCACTGCACTACACCGCTCTTCATCGCTCTGGTTTCCTCTGCGTCACGCCACATGACAGACACATGACGCGGATGAAATGCCACCACTACCGCACCGCACCGCACCGCACCACACCACACCGCACTTCATTGCATTCCACCGGGCTGTGTGTTTGATTGTCCACATGATGAGGGATGCTCAGATGAGTTATGATGCTCATTTTGATCCAATGCCAATCATCTCTCATCCTCTCCTCTCCTTTCTCATCTCTCATCTCTCCTCTATTCTCTCTCGTCCCTGCTCTCATCTCCCCCCACTTTGTTGTAAATGTATATCTTATACAACATTCATAGGCTAGACTAGGTGTAGTCATTACTGTTATTGGGGGGTTGGGTTGGTCAAGCTTGGGTTTGGTCATGGTCCTTGGTTGGCACTTCCCAACCTTTTGGTCCTTAGACCAACCAATCCCAACCTAGCTACATTGTGAGGCTGCTTGCTCAGCAAGGCACCTCACCCGTTGGCCAACTTACTGGCCAATAGGGTTAGATCTCTTCCACTCTTCCCTTCTTGCATGCTTGTACTATAGAGCCTCTTGGCTCATTAGTAAAACATAATCTTAAGTTCTAACACACTTCTCTCCTCTCTCCTCCTCTCTTCTCTCCCATTCCAGGAGATCAGTGAGGGGGAGGAGCCACAGGAGCAGCAGCAGACACCGCAGGCAGTGACGCTGCAAGTGAGGCGGCCAGACTTTGTGCTGCGCAAGGCCAAGAAGGCGTTCATCAAGGAGCCCTGGGGCAACCTCACAGCGGTGAGCAAGCATTGCACAATAGCCGCACTTAGGAAGAGTTTTACCTGCTTCTGTCTCAGCGGGACAGTGACGCTATCCCGACTTTGTGTTGCGCAAGGCCAAGAAGGCCTTTATCAAGGAGCCCTGGGGCAACCTCACCGCAGTAAGCAAGCATTGCACAATAGCCGCACTTAGGTGGGGGTTTTCCTGCTACCGCGCGTGTGAGACAGTGTGACGCTGCAAGTGAGGCGCATTGACTTTGTGCTGCGCAAGGCCAAGAAGGCGTTCATCAAGGAGCCCTGGGGCACCCTCACTGCGGTGAGTGCTTCAAGTCGTGAGGAGGACGGAGTTTGTGTTGGGAAATCTCACTGGTGGGAATTAGGAGGACAGACTGTGTGCTGCGCAAGGCCAAGAAGGCGGTTATCAAGGAGCCCTGGGGCAATCTCACTGCGGTGAGTGTCCAAGTCATGCAGTTGTAACACTGTGTGATTGAGGCAGTGACGCTGCAAGTGGGGAGAAGAGAATGAAACGCCACCAAGGCGTTCATCAAGGAACCCTGTCAAATCTCACCGCTGTGAGCAAGGGCACTGGGGTGTGGTTAGCCTGCTTCGATATGTGAGGGACGGTGACACTGGGAGTGAGGAGGCCCCACTTGTTTTCCCCCAAACCCAGCCCCGTCCATTCTCCCCAAACCCACCTCTCCTGCATGTGGGGATCAGTGTGTGTGACGTCTCTCTGCATCGCATGTCTCTCTGCATCGCATGTCTCTCTGCATCGCATGTCTCTCTGCATCGCATGTCTCTCTTTTGAGTCGACTCAGAACTAGGCTCTTCTTCATCCTCTCTGTCTCCTCTCATCAACATCCACACTGACCGTCCCCTGCTCCTCCTCCCCCACCCCACTCCCTCTTCTTAATCCCTCTCGCAGGTGGAGATCAGTGTGATGCATCGCATGTCTCTCTTCTTCATTTTCGCTCGCTGCTCTCAGCACTGCCACTCTCACCACGCTCACCATGTTTCCAATGCTGTCCTGCCCCCGCCCCCCTCCCCCTCCCCCTCTTTCCACCCCTCAGGTGGAGATCAGTGTGATGCATCGCATGTCGCTCTTCTTCATCCTCTCCGATGGTCGGCAACTCTTCCTTGATTTCAGGGATGCCAGGTCAGCTATTTCTTGATTTCAGGGATGCCACGTCAGCTATTCCTTGAATTCGGGGGTGCCAGGTCAGCTATCCCTTGAATTTAGGGATGCCAGGTCAGCTCCTCCCTGGCGTCAGAGCATGTCAGCGGCTCCTCACAAACAGCCACTATCTTCCCCCATTCCCCCAGTACGTCGTTTGAGTTGACTCGAAACTCTCTTTTTTTGTGTCTGGTCTCACTCCCAAATACTCTTTGCATAGCCTTCTGCCTGTCTGGCCGTCTAACTGTCTACCTTGGCATAGCTGAGTGTTTGTTTGCCCCTAGTTTGACTCCCGCGTCGTGCACATCTGCCGTGTATATGCTTGCTCTACACCACAATCCAGAAGCCTCAGTGGTATGATTATGTTCTCATGCCTCGCTTTCTGTGCCCCATTGTGCCATTCCCCTGTCACCTCTTCCCGTCGTCCCCCTGTCCCCTCTACCCGTCTTCTCCTCGTAACGCTCAGAACGAGGGACTTGGCAGCGCTATCCATTCGGCAGTTCAAGGCCAACGTGCATGAGAAGGTGAGAGGGGGATGGGGAGTGTGGAGGAGGATTAGGAGTGTGGAGGCGAGGGTGGGTGGGAGGCTGAGAGTAGACAGTGGAGCTGAAGGGTGTCGAGAGGAGCATGAGCGGGGTGGTTGAACTTGAATCAGAGGATGGGTAGAGGATGTAATGGAGTCAGGTTGCCTTCAAACAGATTTTGCCTGATCGTTCTTGGTTACCCTTCACTCTTTCCCTTCGTTCATCTCCTCCCCTCCCTTTTTGTTCCGCTCCTTCTCAGGGCTCCTCTCGGAAGGGTCTTGGTTGGCTTGGAATCAAAAAGCCATGAGCCATTTGATAGCTTCAGCTGCTTGTTTTTCCAAACAAGCTGTTTTTCTGCGATGTACATTGTGATTACCTATCTTCCTAGATTCTCACATAATTTATCGTGTATAAAATTCAAGGAATGTTCTGTGTTGCACGGTGGTGTGGTGTGGTATGCCTTATTTCACTTGCTGGCAGAACATGCTGATTGCTTTGGTTAGGACACCTGCTGGCAGTGGGGCTGGCAAGACAGGATATGAGGAAACCTAGTTAGTTTTTAGCATGAAGCATTAGGTCAGCAAATAATGGCACGTCAATACTTCGTTATTAGGTTATTCGCAGTTTCTGTTCCAGATCGTCCTGCAGTGATTCCGCCGTGACACACTCGTTTACTGGTCTGACGTGTCAACACCAAGACCCACGGAATTCAATAAGCTCATAAGGACTTTCGAAGCGCACATATTAGGCGCGAGATTTCAAATTACTCGAATCGCTTCAAGCAGCCAATCCAGCCAGCTATATTTCCCGCGCAATCACAAGCAGCAGCAGACTCGTACAACCAACAAGCATACCAGGAGTTTAGTCTCTTTCGAAAACCTACCCAACCACGCATGTTCGCAATACTACCGTTTTCAAGTTTTAATGTATCCTACTTAACCGTAGTACGGGTAAACCAAAAGGGCACCCCTGACAGAACTAATTACACCCTACCACACAGACGACACGAGCCGCCATTTCCGTTCCTTGGCCTTCTCGTTGCTCTCATTCACTTCGACGCTTGCTCTGCTGGGTAACGACCTACGAGTGGGCCGACAGGCAGTTGTTTCCATTTCTAATGCGAATGCGGCTTTCACTGCCCTGTTTCTTCATTTTAGTCCGCGCAAACAGAAGCTTTTTCTGTTGATTTCGAATATCTTCCACAAGTTTTATAAGCAATCATCCGTAACTCTCCATCCCAACTCGTCACTTCAACTTGGTGACGTGACGACTCCTTGCCTTCTCGTCGAAGCTCAAGGTTGCCAGACCGTAGCGCATCCCTAAAGCGTAGTAATAGCGTCGTCTTCCAGAATCCTAATATTGAAGGAAGTAAATCCTCACCATGTCGGGCCATGAGAATTCTCAAAAGGGGAAGAAGGCTCGCCGAAGCCCCGGCCCGCTGAAAGACGGCCCGATGAAAGACGGACCGTCAAAATCCTCCGCCTTTTCCAGCCCTCAGCAGTCTGTTCCCTTCGCTTCTAACAACTCCGCAACCACCGCCGGAAATCCCTCCGTGACCCACGCTCACACTCCCTCTCCTCGTCCCGGTCCCCTCGCTGTTCCAACCCTCTCTTCGTGCAAAGAGAACGAGCAACCTACGGCTCACTTCTCCTCTATCTCCTCTCCTCACTCCCTCTCCCCCTTCGCTACATCCTCTCCTGCCGTCTCTGCCGTCCCTGCGGCTGCTACAACCCCGACGCCTTCTCTGCCGGCTCGCCGAGCCGCCTCGCCGGCCGGCAGACGCTCCCTCGGAAAGAGCACCTCATCCGGCATCTCCAGCGGCGTTTCCGCCGCTCTTGCCGGCGCCATCGCCGGGTCCGCAGCGAGCGCCGGCACCGGTGGGGGTGCGGCGAGCCCGGGGAGCCTCTTCACGAACAGTGGGGCCGGCACCGGCGGCGGCGGTGGCGGCGTAGGCAGCGGGACGTGCAGTCCCGGGCAGTTTAACTATTTTGTCGTGGACAGCCCGTCCGCGCAGCAACCATCGTCGCAGTCGCACGACCCGTCGCACGGGCAGGCGCCGCGTCGCCACAGCGGTCGCGTGGAGCGGCCGTCGCCGTCGCAGATGACTCTGGCGAAGGCGAAGCGCAGTCTCAGTCTTAACTCCTCGCGAGTCGAGGGCGCTCTTAACTCCGTCGCGCTTAATCCACTCTTTGAAGTACTCGCCGGCGCGCCGCGGTCCCCCGAGTCGGCAGCGCGCCGCGACGTCGCGCCCGGCTCCGGCGGAAAGGTGGCCTCTTACGGCAAGCATGCGGCGGATCTGACGGCGTGGACTGCGGACGTGGCGGCGGCTGCTGCAGCTGCGGTGTCGGCGGCGCCGGTGGCGGCGCCATCGGCAGTGGCTGTGGCACAAGGGGAAGCGAGGGATGAGAGGGAAGAGAAGGAAGAGGAGGCGGAAGTGGAGGAGGTTCGGGGGAAGGAGGAGGGCGTGGAGAAGGGAGGAGGAGGGAGCGTGGCGCATGCGACTGCACAACTGGGCAGTGGGGAAAACGAGTTGGCGAAGGAGGAAGGGAAGGAAGACGAAAGCAAGGACAAAGAAACAGAGAATGAGAAGGAGAACGAGGCTGGGGCGGAAGCAAGGCTCGACGGGGCGGGCGCTGACGTGGCGAAGGTTGTCGACGCTGACGCAGGGGATGCGGTGAGGCACCGCTCGCGCCATCGTCACCACCACGACCGCGACCAGCACCAGCAGCACCAGCAGCGTCAGGAGCAGCAGCAACAGCGGCAAGAGCGTCGCCACCACAGTCGCCACGAAGCACGCAGCGGCGACAGCGGCGGACGCAGCAGCGGCACCCGCGGAAGCAGCTGGTCCCGCGCGGGCGGAATCTTCCGCGCGCTCTGCGCGGTTATGCTCTCCGCCGCCCTTTTCCTTTCCGCCCACCGCCCCCTCTCCGCCCTCTCCCCCGCGCTGTCCTTCCTCGAACCTGCCGAGCAGGTGTGGAAGACGTACCTCTCTGCCGTGCCTGGAGCTTGGTTCGGCAATGGTGAAGGGGACGCAGGTTCCAGGCTCGGAACCAGGCTTGGAAACGGCTGGAAGGCTGTTGCGGGCCGTACCTCGGTGCTTTGGGAAGCGAACGGGCATCAGACAATGGGAGCGTTCGACGGGATGAGCTTGGTGGCATTGGTTGGCGGGAAGCGGGGCGGAGAGAAGGAGGAAGCAGACTTGAATACAAGTGACATTTCAGCTAGCGATGGTCATCCTCAGATCCGCGATGGTATTTCAGATTTAGACTTGGCTTCTGCAGAGGAGGAGGAGAAGGAGGAGCGAGGCTTCGCCTCTCCGGATTCCACGGGAAGAAGCTCAGATTCGGTTGTGCAGCAGCAGCAGGAAAAGGAGGAGCCGGTGGTGGTTGCGGTTACCACGGGAGAAGAGGCAGACATGGTTACGGAGAAGCAAGCTGAGCTGGTTACGCAGCAACCATGGGATGAGAGGGTTGAAGAGCACGAGGGTGCTGCGGCTGCTGTGGTTGTTGCGACCGGTGTGGATGGGAAGGAAGGCGGCGAGGAGATTACTCTGACAGCTGGCGGAAGTGGTGCAGTGACGGCTTGCGAAGCTGCTGACGTGGAATCTGCTGACGTGGGCGGTGCTGAGGTGGAACCCGTTCCTGCTGAGCCGGATGACGCTGATGATATAATGCCAGCAACGCGTGAGTGCTCTTCTGCTTCTGCTGCCTGCTCTGCTGCTGTCACAGCTGTGCAAGAGGCTGTAGCGCCTGCCGAACCCAGTGCTACAGCCAACATTGCTGCAGCTACAGCCGCCACTGCAACAGACGTCGATGCTACAGCTGCTACTGCTACAGCTGGTGAGGTCGCCGAGGCAAGGATTCTTCCAGGGGCGGAGGAGAAGGTGTGGGAGGCGGAGGTGGTGGAGCAGCAGCTTGAAACGGAGGCTGCAGGAGTTGCTGCAGCTGCCACTGGGGAGACGGAGGAGGGTACGTCCCTGCCGGAAGCGGAGGAGATGGCATGGGCGCTAGAGGAGGCGGAGCAGCAACGCCTGGCAGAGCAGCAGCAACAGCAGATGCTTCTGGCGGCTGCTGCTGCTGTGGTGGTGGTGGTGGCTGCAGCTGCTGTAACCACTGCTGCTCTCCTGCGTTCCTCCCAAGCTTCAGCAGCAGCAGCAGCAGCAGCTGCCTCAGTCCCGGCCGCGTCTTACCCTGCTGCCTCTCACGGTGTCTCTGCTCGTGCTGGGTCCCAGGCTGGGTCACAGCTGCAAGGGGCGGCGCCCTCTGCTTCTGCAGGCGAGCGCAGGCAGAGCTTCAGTGGTCAATCCTGGGGTGCTGCCGCTGGCGCTGCCGCTAGTGGTGGTGGTGCTGCTGTTAGTGGTGGTGGTGCCACTGCTGTTAGTGGTGGGAACGGCGGCTTTATGCATCCCCAGCAGCAGCAGTACCAGCAGCAGCACCAGCAATGGCAGGCGCCAGCAATGAGCGGAGCAGGAGGGGTGGACGCTGGTTGGACGCTCAGCGAAGGAGCTAGGCTCGGCAGAACTGCTGGACCTGGATTCAGCTCCGGCAATGCTTGTGCCGGTGCTGCTGCTGCTGCCAGGCCTGCAGGCTCAGCGATCTCGGGGCTGAGGCTCGGGAATCAAGGCATGGACTCGGTTTGTGAGAGCACGAGCAACTACTATGGGCCAATGGGAAGGCGACAGCAGCAGCAGCAGAGAGAGCAGGTGCTGCAGGCGCAGCAGCAGCAGTGGGATCAGATGAAAATGGGGTGGCAGGCCGGGGGAACGGGCGGAAGCGTGGGCGGAGGCATGGGCGGAAGCATGGGCGGAGGCATGGGGGGAACGGGGGGGCATAGCCCCGTGGGGATGGCGCAGATGGTGGCGGTGGGGGATGTGCTGGTGGCAGTGGGGGGCGATGGGGAGGGGGAGGGGGGCGCGCAGGGAGGCACAGGGTCACCAGGAGGGTATGGGCGGTATAACGCGTTCAAGCCCGTGGTGGTGCGAGAGGTGAGTCGTGCTGTGAAGCTGTGTGAGGCTCTCCTAGTGACTTTTGAGAAGTCTCAAAACTCTCCTAGTGCTCGTTCCTGAACATTACAACCCCCCTCTCTTTGCTCCTCCTCACTCCCCCTCACTCCCCCTCACTCCCCCTCACTCCCTTTCCTCCTTATTTTTTCCCCACTCCTCCCCACCAACACAGGGATCAGAGCAGCAGGTAGTGCTGACGCCAGTCAAGCGCTCCAGCCGCCTCCGTATGGCCGTCAGTGGCGCCACCCCTTCTGTCAGCGGCTTCTCGCAGCCCACCAGCAGCTACGCTGGGGGAGGGATCAACCACGGTGTGGTCAACCGGCCTTGAAACGATGTGCTGGTGTGAGTGGTTACATTATGCCATCCGTGCTCTGCTCTTACCGTACCATATTTGCATGGCCGTCAGCGGCGGCGGCGGCGTTTCTCCCTCTGCCAGGGCCCGACCAGTCCACAGTGGAGGTGGCCCGGATGTTACTGTTAGGTGCTTAGTAAAGCGCATGTCAATTGCGCATTTCTAGTACGGTAAGTAGAGGAGTTATCTTCATGCAGTCTATGTTCTGTTGCAAAGACCTCGTTTGCTTTTGAGACACCTCAAAAGCATTTTGCCGTTACAGATTTTTCTTTGCTATGTAGTGCTAGATGTTGCCACTGATTACTGTGGTATTCTAGATAATGTGTAACGAAGTCGGTATTGTACTGCGCCATAAGTGTGCACGGATCTCAAGTTCAGCCCCTAAAATACCACAACTACTGTTCAGGGTGTGGTATGTGTTAAGGAGTGGACAGGATTCACAGGTGTGACTGAATGAGATGGTCATGCAGAAAATAAATATCAATACTACCTTACATTAACCTTGGCGGTCATCCATACCAGGAACAGGAAGAGCCTAACTCCTGAGAGTTTCAGTAGTTGTACGCAGTGCAGTTAGGCAGACCTGGTTTGGAACTGAAACTCCTTGCAAGGCGGAAGTACCGGTACCGGTAACGTGTTTGAAGATGGCAACAGTAGCGGTATTACCACCATTGATTGAGGGGAGGCAGAAAGGGAGTCCAGTATAGTGAACTGAACCAGCTAGCAACCTTCGCATGGTACATGAAAGTGTGAAATGTTATTATTTGTTATAGGCTGCGGTGAGGTGCTCCTTAGTGAGTACAACTCAGTTAGGGATTCATGTTTGTACTGCCTTGCTTTCCTAGTCACAACATGAAACACCGCGACGCGCCAGAGTCCAGCGTGAAAGACAGGCAGGGACGCCTCAGCCGGAGGTGTGCCAGGTCCGGAGGCTACACAAGCACCTAGAGCAGACACACAAGCACCTAGACTAGAGAGGCACAGGTCTACACTAATAGGAGGCAAGCATCCTAGACTACGAACGCGCGAGTACACAGATCCATCAGCACTATAGTCAACATCAGCATACAAAGCATACTGTTCAAATACGGTACAGGAATCTTACGGGCTAGCAGGCGAGCCCAGCGCGGGGTGGTCGCCTCAGGACCCTAGCGTGCACGGTAGAGGTCGTCGAGGCGGCGGAAGCACCGCGCCGCAGAGTGGTCGTCGCGGCCGCAGACACAGGGACTGCCTGGTCCGGTGACGCACCAGTGGTCACAGGGGCCAGTGTCGCGCCGGGGGGGGGGGGGGGGGGGGGGGGGGGCGCGGGGCCCAGCTGGTAGTGCTGCTGCTGCGGCCAGTGCTCCCAGGTCCTCCAGGTCCCCACTGTGGTGGAGGGCCCCAGTGCTGCTGCGGACCCCACTGCAGTGGGGGTCCCCACGACTGAAACTGCTGTGGTGCCTGCCACTGCTGCTGTCTCTGCTGTGGCTGCTACCGCTCGTCGAACCTCCTCCAGCATGTGGGCCAGCACCTCCTCCAGGGCTCCCTCCGCCTGGTGCACCACCGCCGCCGCCCCCACTGCCGCCCCCAGTGCCGCCTCCACCACCGCCACCTCCTCCACCGCCGCCACCCCCCTTCCCCCCTTTCTTGCCACCCTTGCCCCGTTTCTGCCGGTCAGCGGCAGAAACAGCTGCAGTGTCCTCAGAGACCGACACAGCAGCAGAGGCACGAGTAGCAGTGAAGGTGGGAAGCTGGGGTACAGCACACCCCTCAAACAGACGGGGAGCGACTGCGTCAGTGGCTGATGCAACAGAGAGGAGGTTACTCTCGATCTTCCCGAGAGTGGTCTCGAGAAGATCAATCGTAAGCTCACTGGGGTGCTGCTGGAGAAGCGCGTCACGGGCAGTGGAGAGGCGGTCAGGGAGACGAGTGACTATTCAATGGACGGTGAGCCAGATAGGAGGGGGAGCAACAAGAAGTTGAGCCTCAGTGTAGGCTGCACGGTAGCTAGCGACAAGGGAACGCAAGTGAGTGGCTAGGTCGGAGACAGTCGCAAACGAGCCGAGGTCGGGAAACACGAACGGCATGAGGATGCGGCTGAGGGAGGCAAAGGAAGGGGTGGAATATCGTGCAGAGATAGCATCATAAACCCCCTTCGCAGTCTCTACCAGGTCGAAGTGAGCGGCCTCAGTAGGTGGAAGGAGCTCTGTCAGCGCGAGAGCAGCCGCAGCGTCACGGGAGTCCCAAACGTCCCTCGCCAAGACGAGACGATCGTAGTCCGTCTGCGCTTCCGAAGTGGGGGCGGGCTCGATAGGCAGGGGCTCGGGACGCCGGGGTGCCTGGAGGGCGCCGGACGCGTGGGCGTACAGGGTGGCGCCATCCTGGCGCTGACTGGTGAGATAGCGCTGAGTCTGGCGGAGCCAGGTGCCGAACTCTATCGGGCGGCCCTCCGCGTCGAAACGAAGGCGGCGGGAGGACTCCATAGTGGAGGCTAGGCTAGGAGCGGCCGGAACCCGGAGCAAGCGGAGCTAGGAGCGAGGAGCGCCAGGTGAAACTAGGCGAGGCACTGCCGGAGCACGGAGGAAAACTGAGCTAGGAACGCCAGTCTAGTAACGAACGGAGCTGGGAGCTAGCTGAGCTAGGAGCAGGCGGCTGGAGGAGGCAGGGCTGACGAGCCGATCCAGGAGCCGGAGAGTCGTTCGAGGGGCTGGCGGAGCGAGGAGAGACCTAGCTAACAACGAACGTCAGTACTAGCCTAAACAGCTAGGTGGAGCGGCCTCCAGCCGCGACGGTGCGAAACACTGTGAGTAGGAGTGACGCGAGTGTCGAACCAACGAAACGGGAGGGGAAATCCGAGGAAACCCTAAACGAAGGTGCGGCTCGGGGCGCCTCGGGCTACGGGCGTTCAGGGTAGGACGGGGTGTGCACGGCAGGGGTGGGTAAGGGCGCGCGGGGCGGGCGGACCAGGGGCGCGCGGGCTACAGGCAGGGCGCACGGGCTACGCGCGGGCTAGGGGCAGGGCGTACGGGCCGCGCGTCGGCAACGGGCAGGGCGCACGGGCTACGCGCGGGCTAGGGGCAGGGCGTACGGGCTACGCGCGGCCTAGGGGCAGGGCGCACGGGCGACGTGACCGGCTGGGGCAGGGCGCGCGCTGCTGGGCTGGCAAGGGCGCGTGACGGGCTGGGGTAGGGCGCTCGCTAGGCTAGGGCGCGGGCTAGGCGCGGAGGGTGCGGAGGCGCGGAGGGTGCAGTGGCGCGGGTTAGGCGCGGAGGCACGAAGGGCGCGGATGCGCGGAGGCGCGAGCTAGGCGCGGAGGGCGCGGAGGGTGCACTAGGGGAGGGCGCGGAGGGCGCGGAGGGTGCACTAGGGGAGGGCGCGGAGGCGCCGAGGCGTGAGTGCGCGCTAGGCTAGGAACGGGCTAGGAACCGTCGAGAACGAACCTACTCGTGATACCATCTTAAGAGTAGCTAGCAACGGAATGTGAAGAATAGAAAGGGATGGGGTACAAATATGCAAACCTAGAAACTGTACCCCCTAGAAGGCACCTCACTACAGCCTACAACACATATTATATTTTGACAAATCCATGCACTTTTTTTTGTGTGACATCTATTCCCGTATTCAATCTGCACATTTGAATTTGCATATCTTATTCGCTTCAGCACACACTCACTGACACGGCACTTCCCTAAAACCCAGTGTTGATCCCCCCTCCCATTTGCCCACCACCTCGACCGAAAACTACACCACTCCTACGCCTTCCCCTCGCACCGAACTGCCCACCACCCCTTCCTGCTCCTCTCCCTCCTCCCCAGCCACCACCTCTTCCGAACCTGCCACCAAACCCCGCACCAAAGCCAGGGCCCTGAGGCCCGGGCAAGAGGGCACCCTTGCGAGGTCCGGCCGGAGCTGATTTGTCACTTAGTGCTGATTCGCTGGGTGGAGGCGGAAGCAAGTAGTTTTCAAATGAGAGGAGGGAGGCGATGGTGTAGAGTGTCAGTGCTTGGAGGGGAGGGAGCGGTTTCCTCGGATCATGGACCTGAGAGGGGAGAGAGCGAGAGGGAGTGGGAGTACGCGGGTGTGAGAGGGAAAGAGAATGAGAGCGCATGAGGGAGAATACAAGGGGAGTGGGAGAACGAAAAAAAAACCAAAAGGCACAAGAGGAAAGTAGACGTGTGATGGCAAAATCAGAATTCGACTAAAAAATGGAGCACCCACCTTGGTGGCAAAGCAGGCAGCCAGCCTCTCCCTCAGGCAGAACAGCTGAGCCGCCAGCATGGCCGTGGCGCGGAATCTCAGCCATCGATCGATCACAATCACAATCTCACGGCCAGGATCGCTCATGACCTCCTCCTGCAATTTCCTCCTTCTCTCCCTCGCACTCTTGGGATTCGGCCTCACCACTGGCCCCTCCTCCTCCTCCCCTTCCTCATCCTCCGCACCTGAAACATACTCCCCTTCCTCCTCCACCCCCTCCTCCTCCTCGTCTCCCTCCTTTCGCACATTGCCCCCCGCCCCCTCGCCCTCTTCTCCCTTCCCTAACTCCATCTTAACTGCTTCACTTTCTTCCCCCACTGCTCCTTCTTCTCTCTGGCCCGACTCCCCCTCTCCCCGTTGCCTCCGCTGCCGTCTCTTTCTTTTCCGCACCTCCACCCCTTCTCGCTTCCCTTCTCCCTCCCCTTCTCCCTTCCCTTCTCCCTCTCCTTCTCCCTCTCCTTCTCCCTCCCCTTCTCCCTTCCCTTCTTCCTTCTCCCCATCTCCATCCTCCTCCCCTCCAGCCTTCAGAGGCCCTAGAGGAGCAACAACCATCTCTGATGCAATCAGGATGAGAGAGAGTGGACGAATCACAGTACACGATCTAATCGTCTGGTTCCCCTCGCCCCTCACGATCTCATCAAACACAATCAACGGCCGAGATGATTCCTCAATGCTCTCCGAACCACCGCTCTCCCCAGCGCCGCCAGCCGTTCCCGAACCTGCCTCCGCGCCTCGGTGCAAGGCTCGGCAGTTGACCGAGTGCGGATGGATCCGAACCTTCTCGCCTCGGGCCGTCACTACCAGCGCCGGCTGCTTCCCAGTTGGTGTTTTCGGTACGAGACTAGCTACAAACGGGTACAAACCCGCTGCCAGCACCGCCCTCACCACTCCTTGGTTCCTCCCATTCGCATTACACTCACAATCCAAATCCACATTCACATCCCATCCTCCTCCTCCTCCTCCTCCTCTGGCTCCTCCTCCCCTCCCTCGCCCTCCTCCCCACCCCCCTCCTCTCCCCCCACGCACACTCCCGAGAAACCCTTTCCGCAGCAGCTCTCCTCGCAGCTGCTTCCGCAGCCCAGAGATCATATTCATCCCACCCGGCGACAAGAAATTCCCCCGGGAAAACGCATCCGCGGCCCGAGCCCCACCTCTCGCCCTCGCCGCAGCCCACCCGTCGAACGCGGCAATCAGCGCCAAATGATCCCCGTACCCGCCCAGCGAGTTCCCCAACGCATGCCGTGCAGCAATGGCTTTAAGCTTCTGATCCAGCCCTATAGGCATCTGGAACGGGTCCCGGTACGTGCTGGCTGCAGCAACAGTAAGAGCCGGGCCGAGACAGTCGAGGAGGATGGAGTGGAGGAGCATTTTGGAGGTGACTGGGTGGAGGGGGAGGGCGCCTAGGTGGGCCCCGAGGGGCGTGAGGGATTGGTGCGGGTCGAGAGCACCGATGTCTTGCAGGAGAGCGACGGCGTTGGTGATTGCGGCGGGCACGGGCGGCTCGAGGGCCTTGGAGAGGAACAAGGGGATGTCTAGTGAGGGGTCCAGGATCTTGATCTGATGGGGGAGGGCGGAGGGGAGGCGGAGGGGAGGCGAAGGGGAGGCGAAGGGGAGGCGAAGGGGAGGCGAAGGGGAGGCGAAGGGGAGGCGAAGGGGAGGCGAAGGGGAGAAAAAAGAAGTCAGCGGGGAACATGTAGGAAGGAGGGGATGTCTAACAAGAGGTTTAGGATCTTGATCTGATATGGGAGGGGGAGGACCTCACTGTACCAGTGCTCACCGCTGTGGACCTGCAAGCACCCCACTGTACCCACGAGCACACACACATACCCCCTCCCTGCACCACATTGTATTTACGAGCACCCCACTGTACCTGCAAGCAGAGCTCTACCAGAGGCGTGTGCTTGTTTCTCGGCACCTGGAAATCCGGCAGAGACCCAGCTCAAAACTACAAGCTATCCAGCCCACCGCACCTGTACCTGTGATCATCACACTGTACCCACTGGCACCGCACTGTACCTGCAGGCAGAGCTCTTCCAGGGGCGTGCGTTTGATCTCTGGCGCCTGGAATTCTGGCAGAGACCCAGCACGCGTGCGGGAGAAGAGGTGGAAGCACACCCCCGGCCTGCACCTCTGTACCTGCAAGCACCGCACTGCACCTGTTCGAACCGCACTGTACCTGCAAGCAGAGCTCTTCCAGGGGCGTGCGTTTGATCTCTGGCGCCTGGAATTCCGGCAGAGACCCAGCACGCGTGCGGGAGAAGAGGTGGAAGCACACTCCCGGCCTGCACCGCCCTGCCCTGCCCTGGCGCTGGCGCGCACTGGCCTTGGACACCCAGCACACCTGAGGGATGGCACGATCGAGGGACAAGTATGGGGAGGAGGAGAGAGGGTAGGGGGATGGGTGGGCTCATGAAAGCATCCGTGAGCCACCATTTCTCGCATCCATGAGCCCACCTCCTCTCGCTCATGGATGCTAGAAATGGTGAAAGCACACTCCCGGCCTGCACCGCCCTTCCCTGCAGCTGGCGAGCCATCTCACCCCCTCCCTCCACCCTCCCTCACACCAACGTGTGCGCATCATAGCTCTTCTCCTTGAGCCGCCCCGAGTCCACCACAAACACAATGTCATCAACTGTCACAACACCCCAAGCTGCCAACCCCCCCACCCCCCACCCCAACCCCCATCTCACCCCCTCCCTTCACCCACCTGCAGAGTGGACACGTTGGTGTGCGCATCATAGCTCTTCTCCTTGAGCCGCCCCGAGTCCACCACAAACACAATGTCATCAATCGTCAGCGCCGTCTCTGCAATATTCGTCGTGAGCACAATCTTCCGCACGCCCCGCCCCGGCCGCTCAAACACCTTCCGCTGATCCGGCATCGGAATCTTCGAGTGCAGAGGCAGTATCAGGAACCGCGTCGGGTCTCCAAACACCGAGGAACCCAGCAGCCCGTCTCTCAGTCGGGAAATCTCCTCCCATCCCGGGAGAAACACGAGGATAGCACAGTCTGGTCCGTTCAGACCCGCCCCGCCATCCCCTGCTGTTGCTCCTTCGCCCTCACTGCCTTCCTTGCTGTAAGTCGGGATGAGAGATAGAAGCTCGTCCTCCTCTTCTCCCTCCTCTCCCTCCTTCTCTTCGCCCTGTTTCAGCATCTGTTGGGCTCTTTTGGAAGCAAAGGCGCTGCTGCTTGTGAGTGCTGCCGGCCGCTCTGCAGCGCTGACGCAGATCCTAGTCAGCAAGAGGTGGATGAGGGCTAGATCCACCTCATCATGGTCCACGGAGGCTTGGTACAAAGAGAGCGCCACTTGCTCCTGTGCTGCCAGCCTCGCTGCTTCTGCACTCAAAGGCACAGCCATAGCAGAAGCACCAGCAGGAGCATCAGCTGTCGCATCAGCATTGGATACCGGTGCCCCTGCTTCTTCCTTGTCTCCCTGCATCGCTTCCCTCTCCTCCTCTTCCATTCGCCCCTCCTCCCCTTCCTCCTCCTCTCCCTCCTCTCCTTCCTCCCCCTCCTCAACCTCCTCTTCCTCCTCCGGCACTCCCAAGCCCAGCGCCTCCATGTGCCTCTCCAGAAGCCGGCACACAGCATCATGGCCGTACATGCGAGCCCAGTCAAGGGCCGTGCTACCTTCATCTGACGTGAGAGTCACATCGGCACCCAGAGATAGCAGCATCTCCACCTCCTCTGCTCTTCCCTTGCCTGATGGGTGGGGAGGGGAGAGAAAGAGGAGAGGAAATGAGGCCACAGGCTCATGGCCGTACATGCGAGCCCAGTCAAGCGCCGTGCTACCTTCATCCGACGTAAGAGTCACATCAGCACCCAGCGATAGCAGCATCTCCACCTCCTCTGCTCTCCCCTTGCCTGTTGGGGATCGAAGGGGGAGAGGGGGAGGGGGGGAGAGAGGAGAGGAGGGGAGGCTAAGGGTGAGAGCAGGAGAACAGGCGGTGGTGAGAGCGAGAAAGCATCTCTCAAGCAGCCAGCAAGGGTGTGGCTCCCGTCTCCGTCTCCGTCTCATAGTCACAGATGTTTATCCTCACAGGCTCACACCACGCCCACGCCCACCACCACCACAACCAAATAATGTCCTATGGTACATACACATGCAGAGAAGGCTCAGCACACACACTCACCAGCGGCAACCATCAAGGGAGTAGCTCCCGTCTCTGAATGCGCATAGTCACATATGTCTATCCTCACACCACGCCCACCACGCCCACACCCCCCACCACCACCACAACCAAATAATGTCCTATGGTACACACGCAGAGAAGGCTCAGCACACGCACTCACCAGCAGCAACCATCAAAGGCGTAGCCCCCGTCTCCGAGTGCGCATAGTCACATATGTTTATCCTCACACCACGCCCACCACGCCCACCACCACCACCGTCACCTCTCCCCTTCCTTCTCCTCCTTCGCTTCCCCCCCTTTTGCTTCTCCTCCTCGGCTCCTCCTCCATACATCTCCTGCAGCTGGCTCTCCTTCCTCTTCCGCCTCAACACCCGTCTCAACATCCGTCCCCTTTCTCCTCCCACCCCTCCCCCACCATCACCACCATCACCACCATCACCGCCACCACCGCCGCCGCCACTACCACTGCGCTGTGCTGCGGCCATCATCATTCTACTCATCATTCCCTGCAGCTTCGCCTCCTCATGCCCTGATACCACTAGCTCCATCAAATCATCGAAATCCTCCGCCATCCAAGCAAGCCTAATCGCCTCATCCATGGCTGCTGCGTCCTTTGCTGTCAGACCTATCACCTCCCCTTCCTCCACCTCCTCCTCCTCCTCCTCCTCCTCGTTCTTTACCCCTGCTGCTCCCTCTTCCCCCTCCCCACCTGCTTCCTCCCCCTCTTCTGCCTCGTCCTCCCCTACCTCCCCTTCCTCCACCTCCTCCTCTCCTTGCTCCTCTCCTTCTCCCTCTTCCTCTCCTTCTCCCTCTCCCTCACCCTCACCCCCTCCTCCCACGTGCACATTGGCTTGTGCTGCAGCTTTCCTTTCGACATCCATAGCTTGCAGTGCTTCCTTATTGAAAGCCCCACCAGCGAAATTGTTGCCATAATTTGTGATGCGAAGGATATCCTCTAGATACAGTGATCGCACCTGCCAATGTAACAGAAGAGGGCAGAAAAAAAATCGGGCTACCAAACACCAGCACATATTGTTGTTTCCTCATTACAGCAACACATGAAGCAGCATAAAAAGAAACGGAAACTCATCATTCTACCAGTACACTGCACAAAGATGGAAGAGGAAATTGGGGAAAAAAACAAAACAACAACAACTGACCGGATATGTGAAGCCAGGGACGTTGATGACTGGGCAGCCCCCAAAATAGTTTGCAAACAGCCCGGCATCCAGGGTTGCACTCATAAGCACCTGGGGAAGATTAGACAACGCAATTGGCAGCACGTGATTGATAATTAGTCTTTGAGGCGCCTCAAGAATCGAAAGAGTTTGCAAACAGCCCGCCCGGCAACCAAAGTTGCACTCATAAGCACCTGGGGGAGATTAGTCAAGGCAATTGGCAACACGTGATTGATAGTTAGTCGACTTTTGAGATGCCTTAGGTTAGGGAGGAAAAATAAAAAATAAAACAAAGGAAAGAAAACTGAATACCATAAAATATCAAGTCCTGTCTTGTCTCAAAAGGGAAAACTGCCTAGTCCTGTAAAAGAATAAGACATCGATGTCTGAGGCGCCTTAAAAAATGGATGATGAGCATGAAGTGAGAGTGAGAGGGATTTGAGAATGCTCAAACATCTGGGATAAGGAGGTGAGAGAAGTGACCAGCTTGAGTGTGGGTCGCAGGCGCAGCAGGTCTCTGAGAAAGATGAGCATGAGAATGAGAGCATGAGATTCTTGCAGGGAGAATCTCAAGCATCGAGCACCAGGAGGTGAGGCAGGGGGGCTAACTGACCAGCTTTAGGGTGGAGTGCAGGCGCAGCAGGTCTCTGAGAATGATGAGCATGAAGCCAGCAAAGCAAGAGGCTCTCGCGAGGCTTGTGAACGATCTCTCGCAAGGAGGTGAGGGGAGAGGACTGACTGACCCGTGGGATGCCGGGGGATGAAGGACCCACTGACCAGCTTGAGAGTGGGGTGCAGGCGCAGCAGGTCTCTGAGAATGATGAGCATGAAGTCGCGAGCCAGCAGTACCAGCAGCAGTACAAGCAGGACGGAAAGAGCAGCGGGGAAGCAGGTGACTCGGCAGGACTGACTGAACTGACCAGCTTGAGGGTGGGGTGCAGGCGCAGCAGGTCTCTGAGAATGATGAGCATGAAGTCTGCGAATTTATCTCGCTCGTGCACCTCGTCCTGGTGGGGTGGTGTGTGGGGGAGGGAGAGGGAGGTTATATCACGGGTGTCACCCACCCAAGCAGTCGCAGGCGCAGCAAGTTAGGTCACGAGTTTCACAGACACACACACACACAGGTCCCTGAGAATGATGAGCATGAATTTGCACCTCGTCCTGGTGGGGGGGGGGGGGGTTGGGAGGGGGGAGGGGGGAGAGGGAGGTTAGGTCACGAGTTTCACAGACACACACACACACAGGTCCCTGAGAATGATGAGCATGAAGTCTGCAAATTCATCGCGCTCGTGCACCTCGTCCTGCTGGGGGGGGGGGAAGAGAAGAGAATGCAAACCACACAGAAGCGGACGCATGAGAATTTCAGCAGCACCACATTCGAGCAAAGCGGTTTCGCTCATGCACCTCGTCGTGGTAGGGAGGGGGAGAGAGGTTTTTTTAGCAACTCAAGAGAATTTCAGCGGCAACACATGCACCTCGTCCTGGTGGTAAGGGGGAGGGGGTGGAAAAGAGAATGGGGGCGACAATGAGCCTCGTGCCATCCCATGCCTCGTGCCATCCCATGCCTCGTGCCATCCCATGCCTCGTGCCATCCCATGCCTCGTGCCATCCCATGCCTCGTGCCATCCCATGCCTCGTGCCATCCCATGCCTCGTGCCATCCCATGCCTCGTGCCATCCCATGCCTCGTGCCATCCCATGCCTCGTGCCATCCCATGCCTCGTGCCATACCATTCCTCGTGCCATACCATTCCTCGTGCCATACCATTCCTCGTGCCATACCATTCCTCGTGCCATACCATTCCTCGTGCCATACCATGCCTCGTGCCATACCATGCCTCGTGCCATACCATGCCTCGTGCCATACCATGCCTCGTGCCATACCATGCCTCGTGCCATACCATGCCTCGTGCCATACCATGCCTCGTGCCATACCATTCCTCGTGCCAGCAGCAACACTCACCACAATGATGTGAGTCGCATCCAGCTTCGCGAGCACATCTCCATGCCATGCTATTCCATGCCATGCCATGCCATGCCATGCCATGCCATGCCTCGTAGCAGCAGCAATCACTCACCACAATGATATGCCTGTTTTTGAGTCAGCACGCACTCACCACAATGATATGCGTCGACTTTTGAGTCGACTCAAAAGTCAACTCGTAGCAGCACAGCAGCACTCACTCACCACAATGATGTGCGTCGCATCCAGCTTCGCCAACACATCTGCATCCCCCTCCCTCCTCACTCCCCCCTTCTCCTCCCCCTCTGCACCCCCCACTCTTTCCCCCTCCTCCCCCTCCCCATCCCCATCCACACCCTCTGCCATCCCCTTCACAGCAGCAGCTATCGCCTCTCTAACCCCCGGCTCCACAATACTCCCCCCTCCGCCCTCCCCACTCCCCCCTCCGCCTCCCCCTCCTCCGCCCTGCGCGCCCCTTCCCCCTTGCTTGCTGTGCAGGTGCGCCCCCAGCCCCACGAGGCGGCGCAGCAGAACGCCATTGGTGCAGAGCCAGAGGGACGAGGAGCGATTGCCTTTAGACTCCAGGCGGATCTGGTACCCGACTGTTTGCCCGATGTTTTCCCCTCTCTCCGCTGCTATGCGCTCAGCCACTGAGGTATGGCACGAAACGGGGAGACACAGGAACGGAGGGGAGAGGGGGGAATGGGCGAGACGAGACGGTGTTGGGAGGGACGAGCGGAGAGTGCAAGAGGCAAGTGCGCCCCCAGCCCAGCCCCACAAGGAGGGGCGAGCGGGGAGTGCAGGAGGGAGGGAAGAGCGCCCCCAACCCCACTAGGCGGCGCAGCAGTCTCGTTCGCAGGCGACGCAAAAAACCAATCACACCTGCAATCCCACCAGCACCACCCACCAGAGGCGGGTGTGTTCGAAACTCTGTGGTGCTAACATCACCACCCACCCACCCACCAGAGGTGGCGGAGATTCGTCTGGGTTGGGTGCACATCACGCGGCAGCGCTTCCCCTTCCCCCACTCGTGGTCCAAAATGAACTGCGGCACCTGCGTTGTCTTGCCACACCCCGTCTCCCCATTCTGACCCACACACACACACACACGTGCACACACTCACTCGTTCTCACCACCAGACTCATCTAACACCTCCTGCTTCTAGCAAACAGGACTCAGCCCGTTCTGCTTCACACCTTCACAGCCAATCTCAGAGCGTGAATTACCAGAAGTAGCGGAGATTCGTCTGGGTTGGGTGCACATCACGCGGCAGCGCCTGCCCTTCCCCCACTCGTGATCCAAAATAAACTGCGGAACCTGCGTCGTCTTGCCACACCCCGTCTCCCCCACTACCAGCACCACCTGGTGCCGCTCTATCGCCCGTGTGATCTCCTCTCGATACGCCATGATGGGTAATGACTGCCGCTTCTGTGTGATCTGCCGGGGAGGGAAGGCGAGAGAGAAAGAAAGTGTGTGGGGGGAGGGGAGAAGGGGGGTTGGGAAATGGGGGGGGACGAAGGACAATGAATGTCCTGAGGCACACCTGCGTGGTCTTGCCACACCCCGTCTCCCCCACAATCAGCACCACTTGGTGCCGCTCTATCACCCGCGTTATCTCCTCTGCCAGAGTCTCACCGCTTTCAGTGATGCCATGTTGGCCACCCTATCTGCCAGAGCCTTCACCTGCGCCTGCACTCAAAAAATCCCCTCCCCCCAACCCCTCTAGGCCCCATTTTTAACATCTTACGAGCCTCTGAACTAGACTCTCACCGCTTTGAGTGATGCCATGTTCGCTAGCCTATCTGCCAGAGCCTTCACCTGCGCCTGCACCCAAGGATCCCCTCTCCCCGCCTCCATTTAAGGCGCCTCAACACCAGAGTCTCACCGCTTTCAACCTCACTGCTTTCACTCTCACCGCTTTGAGTGATGCCATGTTCGCCAGCCTATCCGTTAGAGCCTTCACCTGCGCCTGCACCCAAGGGTCCCCTCTTCCCCCCTCCTCATCCTTCCCCTTCCCCTTCCCCTTACCCTTCCCCTTCTCCACCTCCATCTCCTTCCCCTGCGCCTTCCCTTGATCCTTCCCCTCATCCGTCCCCCCTCCCCCCTCCCCCACCCCTAGTCGCGCCATAGCCCCCGTCACCCCCTCCTCGTCATCCCCATTACCACCTCCGCCTTTCCCTGCGCCAGACCCCCCTTTCCCCCCGCCAGCTCCCCTTTTCCCCCCGCCAGCTCCCCCTTTTCCCCCGCCAGCCCCCCCTTTCCCATGCGCCCGTCCCACTCCCGCAGCAGCGTCCGCCAAATACCCCCCTGCCTGCATTGCTGACGTCATCTCCAGCTCCGTGGGAGGGTGGGTCAGCAGCAGCGCCAGCACAGCAGCTTCGGATTCTGACGAGAGAGTCAGGCTCGGGAGGGAATCCGCTGCAGGCCCGGTGGAGTCCGAACCTGGTCCTCCGGTGAGCTTATGTCGGGAGGTTCGGTAGACTGTCAATCGACGATTGGTTTGTTTCCTGTGGGAGGGGGAAGAGGAATTGAACGAGGAACGGGGGGGACTCGGTTTAGCAGGTGTACTGAACATGACTGAGAAATGAGAAACTGTTTTGAGTCGACTCAAAACAGAGGGGACTCGGTTTGGCAGCTGTACAACTGAGGAACATGACTGAGGAATGAGAAACTGTGCAATGCAAGTGAGCAGAGCAGAGCAGAGCAGAATGGGCGCCACGCCAAGATACAAAGTACATGTCATTTAAAACCCTTCTATTCGCTACTTATCGCGACAGCAATTGCCCGCATCAGCAATAAACAAAGATCCATACATGTACATTTGAAAATAAATACTTATATATTAACGCCTATACAGGTGTACTCAATACACTCACAGATACACATCTGCACACATAAAAGCATGTCTCCCCATACACGTACATTCACATACCCACAGCTTCTAGAGGCGAAGCCCATCTTCCTGCACAGCTCATGCACCACAGCCCTGCAGGGTGTTTTTGAAGAATTCTCAGAAACACCCTGCAAAAAAAGGACAAGTACTATAAACACGTACCCGCGGCTTCTAAAGACGCCCATCTTCCTACACAGCTCATGCACCACAGCCCTGTCATAGTTCCTCAGATCAGATCTTTGAGACGTCTCAGAAAACACACGAAAGCATTTCGCCCCTGTATGAGTACCCACACACACATACCAGCAGCTCCTTAACACGATGCCCATCTGCCGACACAGCTCATGCACCACAGCCCTGCAGAGTGTTTTTTTTTAACTCTCTAAAACACTCTGCAAAGAAGGGGCAACCATAAACACTTACCCGCGGCTCCTGGAGACGAAGCCCATTTTCCGACACAGCTCATGCACCACGGCTCTGCAGAACGAAGTTTTAGAATTTAAACCAGCAAAGAAGGGGCAAGTACGAACACTTACCCGCGGCTTCTAGAGACGAAGCCCATCTTCCGGCACAGCTCATGCACCACAGCCCTGTCATGATTGCTCAAATCCGCCTCAAACGTCAGCTCTGGGAAGGGAGGGAGAGAGGGAGGGAGGGGCAGTGAGAGAGCGAGGGAGGGGGAGTGAGAGGGAGGGGGGAGGAGTGAGAGAGGGTTCATAAGAGGCAATCTACAATTGAGGACTCTCGGATCTAGGTGGTGCACCACAGCCCTGTCATGATTGCTCAGATTCGCCTTGAAGTCATCTCTGGAGAAAAGAAAGACAGAGAGGAGGGTTTAGGGGATAGGCGAGAAAGAAAGAGGGCGAGCAAGGAAAGAGGGGGAAGGAAAAAGGGAGAAAACGCTCGAATTCGTATTCGTTCATAGTAGCCAGATTAACCTGGTTTGCTTCCGTAACGAAATCCCTTGAATCTGGCTGAGCCAGTGATGCGCGTGAATCCACCCGCCGCGTCCTCGTCTTCGCGCCGGAGGACATAAGGTCGAGCAATGCCTGAAACAAAATGTTGTAGATCCCACCTGGTTCGGTGCAGTCACGGAACTCTTCAAGCCTGGCGGAGACGGAAATTCGTGTGGATTCACACACTGGCCGCATCCGCGTCTTCCCCCCGAACGACATACGGTCGCTCGAGCAACGTCTGGAACTAAACCTCACCTGGTTCGGTGCCGTCGCGGAACTCTTCGAGCCTGGCGGTGACGGAAATCCGCGTGGTTTCCGAGACTGGCCGCATCCCCGCCGTCCCGCGAAACCTGTTCTTCTTGTCGCGGTTCATCTTCGATCGCCTGTTAAGCTCCGATCGGCTCAGATCGCTTCGCGAAAGATTCAACGGCTTGAATTGCTTCAGGGCAGCCTAAACGGATCGGATGGTTCAGGACAGTGTGAACGGCTAAGAGTGTTTCACGACTGCCTGAACGATTGATTCAAAGGGCATGAACGTCCTAGATTGCTTCACGACAGCGTAAGGCGGTTCAACCAATCCCCGTGTCAGGATTCGAATTCGCCACGCAGCCGTCACGGCTTCCGCGTGTCACGAAGAAGCGACTTGTGGCTACTAAAGCTGTTCTTGAAAGCCGCTTCGCCCTGGACACTTGGTGAATGGCGACGGGGCTGCCTGATCAGTTATCCGTTGCAATAATTTCCCAAATCGTGGTGTGGGGGTTTGGCTTAGTATTCTCGCTAAGAAGTAGACTGATGTTGTGTACATCTCTGACGAAATGGGACGTTATCTACATTGAAGGTGTGACGCATATGAATGAATGATTCAGGATCTGTGATGATGTGGTTGAAAAATGAACCTGCTTTGAACAGAAATTTCGGGCTGCATTGAGATATTTATGTCATCTCCATATTAATTATTTAATACTGATATGATATTATATTAATTATTTAAGGCTTGAAAACATAAATGATAGTTCAGACTGGTTCCACATGTCCTGTATAATATTCCGAATTTAGCTACTGGGCAACATGTAGCGCCCTGTATGGGGTGAATACAGTACTGAACCTCCTTCTTGCAACAACCTTGAGATTTCATCTTGAACAGTACAATACAGAACATTTTTTTTCGAAATATGATTTCGGGTCTGTCCGTACAAACCACCCCACACTTCCCCCCATCCCCTTTTCCCGCCCTCGTCGTCCCCCAGGCCCCCTCCACCCCGCCCCTTCATTCCACCCCTCTCCTCTCCTCCCCTTTTCCCCTCACCAGCCAACCAAAAGCACCACTTGGCAGTCGGCACGGCAACTTTAGGACCACTGCTTCTTGCTTCCCCGTCAGCTAGCTTTTGGGTTTTATTGAGTCAGCGAACGTCCATCCAACCAAAAGCTGCCCGCATTACGTGGCAAGCAGCATTGGTGAACCATCGATTCGTCAGATCAGTCTGACACGAAACGTTTTCGATCGATCGAACCGAACATTCGATTTCGTCCAATCTGTTTTGCCATGACTGGAACTGGGGAACAACATAACTCGACGGTCGGGTTAAAAACGTTTTTCGTACAGTTTTGTTAGATTTGCTGCAACACTTCCCTACACCAGCAGCCGAGTCAAACAGGCCACTGGTTCGTGTTGGTTTGACTCGGCTGTTCTTAACAAGTTGCGTTGCGTGTGTATGTTTGGGATCGAAAGGTCAACGAGGGCGTTCGCTGACATGTACCCTAGTAAACTTTGTTGAGCACCAGACAAAATTCAAAGTAGTGTGTTCTGACCTGCGTTTATCCACTTGGCCAACGTCGTTTCAGCCATACTTGAGCAGCAATTCATGTGGATCTCCAACGCTCTGACCACATCCTTCACTGCAGTTTCTCTGCTGCTCTCCCCTCCCCTCCCACTTTCCACCCTCGTGGAGTGGACCCACTTCACTTCCCTCCTTCCCCACTTCCTCGTTTATTTTCCGAAATGTCTTCATTATCCATTCCCAATTGTATCTTTTTGGAGGTGCACATTCCATACTTTGACCCCTGCAGAAGTGCACGTAATCCTAGGGATCGCTCCACTGCTGGTACTGTACTGTACCCCCTTCTGTTCAGCCTGACGCCTTCCGCAACTGATACAGTTCACTGGTTCGAGTTGAGTGGTTTTACAAGAGGACGGACCTAAGAGCAAACTAATGGCGACGGGGACAGAGGGTATTGCCGCAGGAGGCGACGCTTTCATTACGTCCCTGAATCCCGCCGCCCTTCGCGCGTACGTGTGCGCCATGGAGAGCGGCATGATCGGCAATATCTGGTCACCCACAGCCGTCGGATCTCCCAATGTTCTCTCCCCATCCGCGGCTCTCGTGACGCAGCCGAATCGCAGTAATCCTCACACCCACAGACCCGCTACTAATGCGCCATGCGGCAACAATGCTGATAACTCGAAACTGAAGAGGAGCCGCGCTCTCGTGCGACGCTGCGATTCCGCGTCGGCTGCGGAAGTGTCACCCGTGGTCGCCGGCGTCGTAGAGCCTGGGGCCGCGCCGCCGTCCCTCGGCACTGCCGGCAGAAGCAGGACGGACGCCGAAGCGCCTCGAGTCGTGACGTTCTCTCAGATCTCCCCGCCGCCGTCCCTCGGTACAACCGTTGCCGCCGGCGCCGGCAGGAGCAGGACGACGGCTCGGTCGCACAACCGGACGCGCTCCGTCAGCTGCATTCAGACCAGCGGGCTCGAGTTCCACTTCCCCTTGTCTCTCGCGCAAGGCGCGCAAGTCGGTGCGCAGGGCGGAGCGCAAGGGCGCGCGAAGGAGGTGGCTACCTCTCCGCCAACTGGCTATGCGCTCTCCGCCGCGGGGAAGGTTGTCGCCGCAAACGACGGGAAGGTGAAGCTCACCCGCGCTCTCACTGAGCGTACGAGCGGCGCGAGTGGTTCGAGTGGCGGAAGTGGCGCGGGAAGTGCCGCGGGGAGTGGCGCGGCGGGGTCGCGGCGGGAGTTCACTCGCAGCCGAACCGCCTCAGAGCGAGTGGGTGACTTCGACACCTCGCTCTCCCCGCGAGGAACCGCCCGCAGCCGCAGTCACAGCCCGATAAGCTTCGCGGCTTCCCCCGAAGCGCAGCGCCCTCCACCGCTCGCCGCCCGCTCGAAACCGGATTCTGCGGTGGCGCCGCCAGCGCCCTCCGCAACGCGCCGCTTCCCAGATCTGTACCCAGTTTGTGGTGCTGCCGTTGGTAGCCCGCGCGACCCGGGCGACGAGAGCGAATCGGAGTCCTCAGTTGTTGACTTATACCCGAGCCGAGGCGCTGCCTTTCCGCGATTTGCCACCATCGGCAACGTTCCAAGCGCGGACGGTGACGGTGACGGTAACGGTAACGCTAATGCTAACGTTAGCAAGAATCTGCATCCGATGTTATCCCGTCGCTCCTGCTCTGTGGGCTCTCAGTCATCCGCCGCATTGGCCGCTAGCATGGGTCTCGCTCGCGGGGGAGCGGTGTCCGGCGCAGATGGTGGCGGAAGCGGCGGGAGCGGCGGAATGCGTACTCGTTCTTCCTCACTTGCTGGTAACAGCAGTCCGTCTGTCGTGCAGCTCGCGCCGCGGATGGGCTTCGTGGATTGGGCAGGAATCGGCAGCCCGAAAACCGGCGGAACGGTAGGCGGTAGCAGCTTTGGCGCCAGTAGCGGCGGCGCAAGCGGCGCGAGCAAGCTGAGGCTACAACCGTTGGACGGCAGCAAGTCGCCTTCTTCCGCCAGTCCTTCTCCGCGCTTCCCCGCAGCCATTCCCTCCCCTTCCGCCGCCTCTCCGCTACCCGCTGGACCTATGCCTGGCTCGCGGAATTTTCCCCCTAGCGCTTACCCATATTCTGCTGGTGCGCCCCCGCTCTCCCCGCTTGGCCGCGGCGGCACTGCCGTAGTTCCCCGCCCCACCCACCGCCGCGCCATTAGCGCCGCGCAGTTGTCCCCGCGTGTGCCCTCCCCATCCGCGCGCCTAGTGCGCCCGCCGAGCTCCCCTTCTGTCGCGGGAAAGGCGTCAGGCGCTGCAGCGCCCGCTAACGCCGCTGCCACGGGGGGGGGCAATCGCTCCGCGCCCGTGCCCGCAGTCGCACGTTCTTCTCCCCGTGCGCGCATCGTGCAATCAGCGACGGCGGCTGCTTCCGCGGCACGCGAAGTTACGGCGGATGGCGGCGCAGATGCGGAGGGTACCGGCGGAATTGCGAATCGCAGGGGGAAGCCAACGCCGGTGCTGATGCCAGTGCCGCGGAGCATGAGCGCAGAACCCGCACTTGCGCATCCGATGGCACTTGAGGGGCAGGCGGCGCAGGCAAAGCATGTGGGGCAGCAGCAGCAGCAGCAGCAGCAGCAGGAGATGCAGCATTCGCACGGCAGCAGTCGCGAGCATGTGGGGAACTACCGCCGCGCGGCCCCCGCGCCTCTCGCGGTGCCTATGCGGCGCCGCAACCACAGCATGTCTAGCGTGACTCAGGGCGACGCAGCTTCAAATTCTGCGCGCGCTGGATTAGCTGCGGCGAATGGCGGCGTGCGCATCGGAAGCGCAAGGGGACATGGTTCTCCAGGCGCAGGCGCATGGCCCGCGCGCAGCCCTGTGGGGACGGCTGGGGGAAGGTTGGAGGGAACTAGTGGCGAAGGTCGTACAGGTGTAACTGGAGGGAAAATTATTTCGCAGCAGCCACGCGGCCGGGGTGGTGCAAAGGGGCCTGAAGCTTCGTCTGAGCTTTCGCCTGGCAGTGCTGCGGCCGTCGCAGCAGCAAGCGCTGCGATTGGGCGAGCGGGGGGAACGCTTTCGCAAAGCCTACCCACGCGAACAACCAACTCCGCCCAACCTCCCGCGCGGTTCAGCCTCGGTTCTGCGCCGAACAGCCCAGCCGAACGGTCACGTCCCGGCCAGACCGAAGCTGCAGGTTCGGCATCCACGCTCGCAAACGCAGCAGCTCGGCTGGATGCAGCAGCGAACAATTTTGCGGGTGGTGTTACGATTGTAACAGGAAAAACAAAAGTTGGAAGTTCTGCCTCCAATATAAATACACTAGACATGCTTTCTCCTCCCAGCCTTATAACTAAGCTCCCAACTGCCAGCGCTCCCAGAGTATCACCTCCCCCAGTTGCGCCTAGCCCTCCCCGCTCCTCACCTCCCCAGTCTCTCTCACAGCAGCAGCAGCAGCAGCAGCAGCAGCAGCAGCAGCAGCAGAGGAAGCAGGCGGCGAGCAGGAGAACCTACAGCGTGGATTTTGACTTTGGGAGAACTATATCCAGCAGCAGCAATAGCAGCAGTAACCCTATAAGCAGCACCACCACCAGCAGCACCACCACCAGCAGTACCACCAGCAGCAGCAGCACGGGCAAGAGTCCTGTGAGGGCGAGCGGCAGGGGAGGAGCCGTGATACTAACGAGCCCATGTCCCAGCCCGTCCCGCGCGCAGGTTGTGCTTATAGACGGCGTCCCCATGCCACTCCGCAGCGCGCTCAAAAGCGCCAGCATCGACAACGGCCTCGGGAATGCCGAGACCTGCCTTGGGAATACCGAGGTAAATTCTGTGAATGCCGGGGGTAACCCCGGGGGTAGGTCGGAAGGCGGCAGGAGCGCTAGCATTAGCCCTATATTCCGGCATGTGTCGCCGCTGGTAGGGCGAGGGGGAGGAGAGGGTGGCGGAGGGAAGGAGGGGAGAGAGGGGAAGGAAGGGAAGGAGGGGAAGGGAGGGAGGGTGCTGCATCCCCAGGCGCAGAATAGTCCGAGGAGGGTGAGCTTCAGTGGGTATGTGGAGGTGCAGGAGTATGTGAGGGATAGTGAGGGGAGGGGGAGAGCGAGAGGGCGGTAGAGAGAGGTGGGTGGCTCATTGATACACTTAGGGATGTTGCAGGGGTGTGGTTCCCATGGGTTCACTTCTATGGGTGCAGAGTGGTTTGAGGTGAGCTTTAGTGGGTATGTGGGATGTACTGGAGTATGTGCGGCATAGTGAAGGATATACTCATGTGTGGAGGGAGGGGGAGAGCGAGGAGGGGGCAGTAGGGAGTGAGTAGGACGATGCTCATGTGTGGATAGCCACATTTGGAGGGCCATGTTAGGAGGGCTAGGTTTGAAGGTCCAGATTTGGAGGGCCAGGGTTGGAGGGCCAGGTTTGAAGGACCAGGGTTGGAGCTTGGAGGCTCAGGAGTGTTACGGTATCTGCTACGCAGAGAGAGGTGCTTGCAGAGCTGTAGCAATCTGATGGCTGTGCTGTGCTACCGTTATTCCTTGTAGCTGTAGCAAGGTAGTGTAATGGTGGCATCATGGCATGACTTCTGACAGTCTGACGTTTAGCAACCTGATGTCTGAAAGTACGTCAGACATGGCGTATCTGCGTATCTGACTGATATTAGTGTGGTGTGGTGGAGCGCCTTTGGTTATTGGTGCTCATTCTTGTGACGTTATGTCATCATCCTCTCACCCTCATGTGTCATGTGATGGTCTCTGCTTGTCATTCGTTTGTTACCTACCGTATCTCTTGTGCTTGCTAGTCAGTGCCCTGCGGAGAGCCGGGTTGACTTCGCTAATTCTTGTGCCGGTTTCCGGCTTCATGTGTGGTTTCAACTCTGATACCCATATACCGTACGGTATACCTTTCCTTTTCTCCAAGAAAGGCACGTCACAAAGGAACCGCACTCAACCGCTCTGTATGTGTCACAGGACAGCATCCTGCGGTAAACATGGAGGATGTGTGAGGTGCATGAGCCGAGAGCAGTGCAAGAACAGAGGCAGACTCTTCTACAGGGCATATTTTGCCACAAAATACAGCGCCAGTGGCAGCAGCCTCATCAATCCATGCACGAACGTCCCCACTGCAGCAACCTTCCTCACACACCCCCTTGCACGCATGACATGACATGTTATGACTGCTGAGTGCTGGCCATTACAGCAGGTGTTACAAAGCGTATTTCGCCACGAAATACAGGACTAGTGGCAGCAGCCTCATCAATCCATGCACGAACGTCCCCACAGCAGCAGCCTTCCTCACACACCCCCTCGCATGCTGCGGCAGGCTCCCCCGCCCGCCCACAAGCCGCACTCTCAGCACCACACACGCCACCCACAGCGGCACCCCATCCACCATACAGCATGTCCCGGTAACCGCTACAATATACCAGGTTTCCCCCGTCGGCTGGGAAAAAAACAGGCTGATTCCGAGGAGTGAAGGCGGCCAGACGGCTAGTAGAGAGGTCCACCATTCACGGCCTTTGCAGTTCCAGGTGCTTAGGAGGGTGAGGAGCTCGCAGAGGGAGCGCGCGAGGAGGTAGGAGGCGATGGGGGTGGTGAGGGAGGCGGAGGGAGAGAAGAGGTAGAGGGCTGCTAGGAGGGAGGCTGTTGAGAGGTCTGCGGAAGCGTAGCACGCTGCTTGCTTGCACTCTTTCCCCTGCTGTAAGGGGGGAAGGAGATGGGAAAGTAGGGCGGAAGAGAGGGGGGAATAGGTGGGGGGAAGAGGAAGAGGCAGAAGGAGGGTGAGAAACGACCCGAGGGAGCCATTTTTTAGAATTCTCAAAAGTGACTCTAACATAGCTAGCAGAGGCAGCAGAGAGAGCAGGCAAGGAGGCAGGGGGCGTTGCGAGTGGTGAGGGAGGTACGAATTGAAGCAGCAACAAAGGTCCTTACAACGAGCAATTACCATAAAAAACAAGAAATAACAGCAATTAAACTTACCAGGAGCAGCCAGAGCACGAAGCAGTAACCACCCAGCACCACGCCTCTCCCTCCCAGCACACCCATCACCACCAACCACACAGTCCCCTTGGTTCCCTTAGTATCCATCGGAGCCCAGAAGAGCAGAGAGAAGAGCACTAGTCCAGCTGCAGTAACCGCCATGGCTAGGAGCAGCAGCAGCCACACGTATTCCATCATTTTACCCATGGGTATTCTTCCCGGTAACCCTGGGACGGCGAGGGTATCTTCCGGTTTCCACCTGTGGGTTCTCGCGCGGGATTCCTTCCAGCTGCGCCCGTCGTCCCAGTCCCCGAACCACTGCACCCTTTTGGATGGGTCCAGAACGATTTCCGAGCCTAACAGTGGGTGCAGAGCGGTGGAATCCGGTGGCGTGCTGTTGCGCAGTGGTTCGCTTGGGTGTTCGCACGGCTGTTGTGGGCGTTCGCAGCTGGTGTGTATCAGCTGCAGCTTCTGGTTCTCGATATAAGCCGCCTCGTTTGTGTCACAGGGCTCCATGAGAATACCAGCCTTATTGCCAGGGCGGGGAATTAACGTCACAGGTGCACCCCAGTCCACAGTAGCATTGTGAGAGACCTGCCTAGCATTGACAGCGGCAGCAGCAGCAGCAGCAGGGGCTGATGGGTCAATGCCTCTGTTATTCCTGCTGCTGCTCTTGCTGCTCCCACCACCACTACTGCCACTACTGCCGCTGCTGATCTTGCTGTCTCCCCCACCTAACCTGCTGCTTCTGTTGCCTCTGCTGCTCCGGTTGTTCGCACCGGCGTTTCTGCTAGGGCTGTTGCTACCTGAGCTGCTTGCCTCTTGCAAATCCACTTCTGCTCGGCTCAACTCACCCATGCGTTCATGGCCACCACTCCCAGTCCCAGATGGCCACGTGGCAGCTTCTCCCGGGCCCGGAGCAGATCTGATCGCTGACGTGGCGTCATCACTCTCTGTGTTCATGGGTTCGTTTGTTCCACTCCCTCCCATGGTGGCCCATCCACCATTCTCTGAGCGTTCTCCATCGATTCTCCCACCGTTAACTGCTCTGCCGCCGCCGCCACTACTGCTACTGTCACCACCGTTTTCATCAACTTCGCCATCATCATCATCATCACCATCGTTACTGTCACCGCCATCGTCGCCAGGATAGCCATCTTTCTCCTCGTCGCTGTCGTAACAGTCGTGGCTGTAACGAAACGGGCTGGCGTGCAGAAACGCGTACGGATCCCCCCTCGCGGTCGCGCTCTGACTCTGGGGAATGACGGCGGGATGCGCGGAACGGGAGGCGGAGTAGCAGCGGAGAGGCGCGGGTGGCTGCGCGTAGGGGGCGGGGGAGGCGGAGTAATAGCTAGCGGAGGGGGAATAATGGAAGCGGTCCGCGGAACAGGGGAGCGGAGAACCGGAGGCGGAATAGGCGGCGGCGCGAGGGGAAGGGGTCGCGGGGGAGGTAGGCGCCGCGGCGGCGGCGGTGAGCGGAAGATCGAGGCGGAAGGAGGAGCGGCCGAGAAATGGATCCGCGGAAGGCTGGGTGGCAGAGGCGAGGTATCGCGACATGAGCCACTGGTGCGTTTTGTCGTGACCCGCGCCCGCCGCAGCGGCGTCACTCACGGACACGGACCGCGCGTGAGCTGTTACGTTGCTGCCAATAGCGGCGCGGCCGGCGACGCCGCTGCTTCCCATTACGCGCGCTGCGACTCCTTCCTCGCTTGTTGCACAGTCACCATTTCTCGAATCCCTCGCGACCGCATGTCCCGTCGCATCTGTCGCCGCATGTCCCGCCGCATCTGTCGCCGCATGTCCCGCCGCATCTGTCGCAGCATGTCCCGCCGCATCTCTCGCCGCATGTCCCGCCGCATCTCTCGCCGCTTGTCCCGTCGCGGCCCCGGCGGGCGCAAACCCGGTTCCGTCGCTGTCGACGCGCGCCGTCACCGTAGCCGCGCCTCGCGCGGCTTCCCGCGCCATATCTGCGCCTTCCGCAGTCTTCCCCATCGCGACGCGTTGCTCATCCCCGCTGGCGCTGCCGCCCCCGCTGCCGCTGCTGCCGCTGCTGCCGGCTTGCGGCGCGCATTTTACGCCCATCGCTTCTCGGGCCACTAATAGTTCGACTATCATTTGCTCGGATTCGGGAGAGCCTAGATCCGAATACGAGCTATTGTCTGAGTCCGAGTTGTACGCGTTAGAGTCATCTGAAGAGTCCTCGTCCTCGCTACAAGACTCGATAGTCACCGCCCACAAAGGAACCGAATTCCGCATTCTCGCCGTGCACCCTCCGCCGCTTCCGCCGCGCGGGGGCCGCCAAATCGGGGGACGTCCCCCGGACGGCGCGATGCGCGCGATTGCGGGGAAGCATGAGCTCGGCTGCGGCGGCGCCAGCTTCGCTTCTGGAGCAGACCTAAAAAGCGATTCGAAAATATGCGACTCGGGAGGATGCGATTTCAAGTTAATCTGCCTATAAGTTAGTTCGAACGCCTCCTAGGACCGTGCCGATGCGCTTTCTATTCACTAATTAGTAGTGCCGTGCGCTGGAAAACCAAGGTATCTTGAAGACTCGCTGGAGACGTGAATGTGGCTTGTTGGGTTAATCCTAAAGTACCTACCGGCTTTATAAATCCCCGAAGCCCATCGTGAGAAGCACCTGGAAAGGAGTGACTGTCCAATGGCTCGTCAAGAAAGTCGTCAGTAACGGGACGGGAGGGACAAGCGGCGAGGGCGGGGAAAGGCGCAACTGAAGCGGCGATGCCTGTGACACGGCACCAGCGAGTGGAGTTTACGGGATTCGCAGCTAATGAAATTTGGGCGCAAAATTTGAAGCAGGCGTGTGGCAACCGTGGTCTCTACGCTATTGGGTGTGGTGTGACGGTAAATTGAGTGGAGTGGAGAGAGCGAGCGAGCAGCAGAAGGCGCAGAAGAAATGCCACAGCCCGCGCCGCAGTTCTTCCCTTTTGAGGAATTTCTTTGCAGATGTTGTGGTTGTGGGCAGGGGGAATATCTGGAAACCGCGTTGCTTTCTTCAATTCGACGAGCCGCTCACGACATGGTGACGCGGTTTGAGGGAAAAGGTGAGGATTTCAGGGCTTTACCGACACAGCCAGCATCAGGTGACTGCGGGCAGAATCAAAGTTCTCAGGGGCGAAATACTGAAGTCCGTGATAAAAAATTCGTCGTGCCACAAAACACGGACGACATCAACTGCGTGCTTTCCTCCATATACAGCGTCCTGCGTCCGTTCAAAGTACTGAGTGGACTTACAAATTAGCTCAACGTTAATAATTTGAATAACAGTAATGTGTGAAATGAGAATTGGTCTTCAGCAAGAGGTAACTCCACAAACCAAGCATTATCAGTAAGAGATGCATGTACGGAATGCACAGCAGAATGTACATTCGGCTATTACAAGATGTACATATAGTACTACAATCCAATCGCCTACATACAACCTCGAAACAAATTTGCGAAAGAGTCAAGGAAATATCCAGGTAAATGTCATCTACACGTAAGGAAAATCAACACTGCTCACACTGTCCTGTTTCTGTGAGTTACTAAAAAAATGACGAATTAATCGAAGCTTGGAGTGGTTTGCTTCCTCTGTGCCATGAGCATCCAAGCACCCATCCTCATATCCCTCAAGCTGCTGCTGCTGCTGCTGCCGTTGCTGCTCTTGTTGCCGTTGCTGCTCTTGTTGCCGTTGCTGCTCTTGTTGCTGTGATTGCTGAGCGTCCCTGATGCTGGTGCTGCTGGTGCTGGTATTCGTTTTCCAAGGGGCAACCCAGGCAGGCGGCCAAAAAGGAGAGGAGGTGAGCGGGGGTATTGTGGGATTAGAGAAAGAAGCCGTGGGGGTAGTTGGGGAGTTGCTCCTGGGTGTGGTGGCCTTTGGAGTGGTGCTTTTGGGAGTGGTGCTCTTAGGGGTTGTGCTCTTAGGAGTGGCGCTCTTAGGGGTTGTGCTCTTAGGAGTGGCGCTCTTAGGGGTTGTGCTCTTAGGAGTGGCGCTCTTAGGGGTTGTGCTCTTAGGAGTGGCGCTCTTAGGGGTTGTGCTCTTAGGAGTGGCGCTCTTAGAGGTGGTGCCCTTAGGGGGAGTCCCTGTAGGGGTGCTGCTGCTGAGACTGGCATAATTAGCAGTGCTTCTATCAGGGGTGTTACTTCTGGGCGTAGTGCTCTTAGGAGTGGTGTGAGTAGGCGGTGTACTAGTGGGGGTGGTGCGAGTAGGGGTTGTGCCTCTAGGAGTTGTGCTTACAGGGGTGGTGCTCTTAGAGGTTGTGCTTCTGGGAGGTGTGCTTTCAGGGGTTGTGCTTCTAGGAGGTGTGATGGAAGGAGGTGTGCAGGAAGGAGTGGTGCTGCAAGGAGGAGTGCCTATACGGGTGCTAACAGTAGGGATAGTGAGGCCCGGAGGGGTGAAGTCCTCAGGAACGCTGCTGCGAACCCCTGCACACCGCACTTCACCCCTGGAATCTCCAGGGACGCTGCTGCCTCGAGGGGTGAAGCCTCTCGGTGTCACTGCTGCTTTAGGAGCGCCCACAGACAAACTCCTGTAATCCTCCCCGTGTTCACCCCTAGAAACCCCTCCGCACCGCCCTTCACCCTCCAGTTCTACCTCCCCCTCACCCCACCCTTCAAAGCCCCCTAACAACCCCCCTTCCAATGCTCCATCAAACCCTCTTCTAAAGCCTCCCCCAGGGAGTCCCCTAGGAGTCCATTTCGGTGTTCTACTGGATGAAGCAGCAGCATCAGAAGCAGTACCAGCACCAGTACCAGCACCAGCAGCAGAACCAGAACCAGAACCAGGGGTCTTCCTGCCCCAGCTGCTCCTGCTCCCAATCCCTTTCCCACTCCTTGACCCAAGCCCTGCCCCCATGCGAGGGGTCTTCTGATTGGCCGGGGCTCCAGATTTCTCGTAGTACGCTGCCAGGGCTTCCGGTGTCATGATTGGCTTGGGAGACATGCCACGTGGCAGCTTCCTATTGGCCGCTGGGCCTGGTGTCAGAGCCGGCGCCGCCCGTGCTCCTCCCGCTGCTGCTGCTGCTGCAGCTGCCGGTGTGAATGATGAGCGCCCCATATAGTCACGAGCAGACATAGCACCACGTGCCAATAATCCACGTCCGATATAATCACCCCTCTCCCTCTCCTCCTCATCCTCCTCCTCTTCCTCGTCCTCTTCATCATTGGGGATATCCAAGGGAATGGCGACTCTTAAAGCCCTACCGCCGCCGCCCCAACGCTTCCCTCCATCCAACCCTACAGGACCGGCTATCAAGGCACCCGCACCGCTGTTTCCTGCCGGCAAGTGAAGCTCCTGCGGCCGAACAGTTGGGCCTGTAAGCCTTCGCTCCTTCTCCTCCCCAACCTCCTCACGCGCCTCATCAACCTTCTTTGCCTCTCCAACCTCCTCAGATTCTTCACCCTCCTTAGCCTTGGTCCTGCTCCCATCCTTCTTCTGCTTCTTCTTCTCCTTCACCCCCCCACTCACCCCCTCACCCACTCGCTCACTCACCCCCTCACCCACTCCCTCGCTCACCTCACTCTCGTTTTGTGGATTGAGCATATGTGCTTCATCGCCTTCTCTCCCTCCTGCTTTCTCCTTCTCCTTCTTCTTCTTCTTGCCAGATTTGCTCCCCTTCTTTCCAACCTCTTTAACCTTGTCCCCCTCACCCTCGCTCTCCTTCCTCGCTTTCGTCTCCTTCCTTCTCTTTGCCAGTTTCGTTGCTCCGTTATGCCTGCTGCTGACTGCCTCGTGCTTGCTGTCATTTGATACATCACCACCACCGGCAGCATCACCATCAGAAGCACCACCATCAGCACCACCACCATCAATATATGCTGTGCCATCACCATCAGCAGCATCACCATCAGCAGCATCAGCAGCAGCAGCAGCAGCGGCAGCACTCTCGTCCAACTCGAACACTCGGCATGCATATCCCGACCCGATAGTTCGTGATCGTAGCAACTGCACCAACGGCACCTCCTCCTCCTCTAACCCCTCCTCCGCCTCCTCCCCTTCCCCTTCCCCATCCACTTCACCCCCCCATTCGTCTCCAGTGAACCCATGACCCTCACTGCCCTTCCTCCCTCTCTTGCCATCAGCAGCACGTTTGGTACATGCAGCAGCAATGGTACCTGCAGCAGCAATGGTACCTGCAGCAGGAGAGAGGGGTTCTTTCCATGAGCTCACCCCATCAGTAGCAATTGTTTTCGATCGGCGAAACACCGGTTCTTCTTCTGCTTCTGCTTCAGCTGCTGTTGCTGCTGGCCCCCCACACTCACTCCTAGACACCCCATACCCATTCTGTGTCTGTTGCACATCAAAAGAAGACATCCCATACTCATTCCTGCTCTCCTCATCCCGAAACCCTAACCGCCACCCCCCTCCTCCTCTCCTCGCCCTCTTTTCTCCTTCCCCACTTCCTCCTCCTCCTCCTCCTCCCCCACTTCCTCCTCCTCCTCCTCCGCTTCCCCACCCTCCTCTCCACCCACCCCCTCCCTCTCCTCGTGGTGTCACAGCCAGCAGGGCAGCAGCCGTGACTTTACCTCCCACTGCCCTCCCCCTTCCCTCCGCCTTAGGAGACTTCAGACTCGTGTAGTAATCTACATAAGCCCCCGCCCCCCCACTCTCTCCCAACCCTCCACTTCCTCCGATCCTCCCACTTCCCCCTGACCTCCCACTCCCCCCCAGCCTACCGCTCCCCCCCAACCCTCCACTTCCCCCAATCCTCCCGCTGCCCCCCAACCCACCACTCCCCCCCGTGGGAGGGTTGGAGGAAGAGAGAGGAGGGGAGCGAGAGGGGGAGAGAGAGGAAGAGTGAGAGGGGGAGAGAGAGGAAGAGTGAGAGGGGGAGTGAGAGGGAGAGAGTGTGGGTGTGCCAGCAGAGAGATCAACAAGCTCAGAAAAATCCGTTAGAAGCAGCTGCGATACAAAGTCCTGACTCATGCTCCTCTGATGCAACCCCCGGTGTCGGACACACCGCCGCTGCTGCCGGTGCTGCTGGTGCTGCTGGTGCTGCTTCCGGTGCTGCTTGCTGCTCATTCTCCCTGCTGCAGCGGCTGCTGCTGTCTGTGCGCGGATTTTCTCAGCTTCAGCTGCTGCTGCTGCTTCTGCTTCTTCTGCCCGTGCCTCTCGTAGCATTGTGATTGACCTTAGGAGGTATTTACCTTTGTTTGCTAGCAGTTCTGCTTGCCGCGTTGACTCGTCGTTCCAAACACCAGCAGCAGCAGCACCAGTACCAGCAGCAGCATCAACTGCACGTGACTGCTCCACAGCCCCTGATACCACGCCGCACCTGCTTGCACCGCTCTCCACCGAACCGGCAGCAACAGCAGCAGCAACACCCGTGGCACCAGCAGCAGACATGCCGTCAGCAGCAGAGGCTGTAGCAGCAGCTGCTCCCTCTCCTCCCACCCCACTTCCCCCACTCCCTCCACTTCCCACCCCTCCACTCCCTGCTCTCACACCCATCCCCTGGTTCCCCCCCCCCATCCCCTGGTTCCCCCCCCCCATCCCCTGGTCCCCCCCCCCCGTCCGAGCCATCTGCTTTCGCTTCTCCAACCGCTCCACAAACTGTTGCCGCTGCTTCCGCGCCCTCTCTGCTAGCTCCCTCCCTCTTTCCCTCACTCGCTCCTTCTCCCTCTCCTCCTCACTCATTTCCACTGCTGCTGCGCCTCCTCCTCCTGCTCCTCCATCCCTTTTCCCTGAATCACCACCATCACCATCCCCAGTTTCAGCTGCTGCTGCAGCAGCAGCAGCCCCCACCGCTGCCTTACTCTGGTTCAACCCGCAAGCACCAGCACCAGCAGCTGCTGCTGATAATGCTGATGCTGATGCTGATGCTGAATGGTTTGACTCAAACACACCGCCAGCAGCCACTGCAACTGCTCCTGCTGCTACTGCTGCTACTGCTGCTGCTGCTGCTCCTGCTGTTACTGCTGCTGCTGCTCCTGCTGCTACTGATGCTGCTGCTGTAGCTAATGCTCCCGCTGCTGCTGTTGCTCCTGCTGCTGCTGCTGCTCCTGCTGCTGCTGCCTCCCCTGATGCTGCTTTTCTTCCCCACCACAACCCCTCACCAGCAGCGGCCGTACCATACCCCTTAGAAGTGGCCTCGCCAGCAGCGGCCATACTGTACCCCTTATAAGCGCCTTCGCTAGCTGCACTGGCTAGACTTGACGTGCTTCTGGGCCTGGTTAGCAGCGCTTGTGGCATTTCAGCAGGAGCCGCGGCAGGGGGAAGGGGAGAACGGGCAGGAGAGGGAAGAGGAGGGAGAGGAGAGAGGGGAGGAGAAGGACGAGGGGGGAGAGGAGAGAGGGGAGGAGAAGGACGAGAGGGGAGAGGAGCGCGGGGAGGAGAAGGAACAGGGGAGGGAAGGGGGTGGAGAGGAGAGAGGGAAGGAGCCCGTGTTGGGTCTGTAGCATGATCATCAGCAGCAGCTGTAGCACCATCACTGCAAGCAGTGGCAGCACTAGCAGTGTCAGTAGCAGTAGTAGCAGTGGCAGTAGCAGCAGTGGCAGTAGCAGCAGTGGCAGCAGTGGTAGCAGTAGCAGCAGAAGTACCAGCAGCGGCAGCAGAAGCGAGGTTCAAAGGAAGCTTCCCTTCCCTGTGCATCTTCCTCCTCACCACACACCTTATCTCCTCCAGAAGCTTCCGAGCCTCCTCACTCTCCTCCTCACTCTCCTCCTCACTCTCCTCTTCACTTTCCTCCTTTCTTCCCTCCCTCTCAGTTTCACTCCTCTCTCCATCTTTTCCTCCTCCCACACACCCTTGCACATTCTCTGCAGCTCTCTCCTTAAGACTCTCGTTGACACCCGCTTTCTCCTCTTCCTCTTCACTCTCCTCCTCCCCCCGTTCTTCCTCACTTTCCCCTCCTTCCTCACTCCATTCTTCCTCACTCTCCTCTCCCTCCTCACTCTCCTCCTCCTCTTCACTCTCCTCCTCCTCTTTACATTCCTCCTCTTCACATTCCTCACCCTCTGCTGCCTTTTTCTTCTCCTTCCCCCCATCCTCCTTTTCGTTTTCTCTTCCAATTCCTTCACCACCTGCTCTCATCACTCCTTCCCTTGCCTCCTCTGATTCCTCTCCCACCGCTATTCCCTCCACCCCTCCCATTACCCCCACCTCCGCCCCCAAAACCACCTCCTCCTCCTCCTCCTCCTCTTCCACTCCTCCTGCTTCTCCCTCATCCATCCCTCCCATTACCCCCAGCCCCATCCCCACCCCCACCCCCACCCCCACCTCCTCCTCCACTTGCCCCTCTTTGTTCTCCTTCCCCCCATGCCCCTCCTCAAATCCTCTTACATTACTTCCCCCACAAGTACTCACCTCCGTTGCTCCCTCCACCCCTCCCCCACTCCCCCCATCCTCCTCCCTTTCCGTTGTTCCTGCTGATCCCTCCTTCACCCCTCCCTCACTCCCCCCATCCTCCTCCTCTTCCACTCCTCCTGCTACTCCTTCCTTCGCCCCTTCCTCACTCCCCCTATCCTCCACTCTCGCTCCTCCTACCCCCCTTACACTAACCTCCACCCCCTTCTCCTCCCCTTCAATAGAGTCACACGTCGACCCCTCACGATTCGAGCCACCCAATTCGATGTAGTCACACTCCGTAACAGAACCCCCACGCTCAGAATCGCCCAAATCCGAAATACTCACAAAATCACATTCCCCAGACTCCCCTCGTTTGGACGAACCCAGATCCGAAATACTCATATAGTCACACTCGCCAGACTCCCCACGCTCAGCACAACCCGCCACATCAGCGTCTCGCGTATAATCACACTCAACGGACTTTTGAGAGCCCTCAAAAGCGTCACGCGTATAGTCACTCTCCACAGACTCACACCCCGAACCTCGTCGCCTAGACAGCGCTCGGGCCATGCTTCGCCGAGCTATCCTGCTCGGCCCGCTCCGTCCGCCCGGGCCACTCTGGCTGTTCAGGCCGCCCAGGCCACTCGGGCCGCCCAGGCCACTCGGGCCGCCCAGGCCACTCTGGCTGTTCAGGCCGCCCGGGCCACTCGGGCCACTCGGGCCGCTCTGGCCGCTAGGGCCGCTCGGGCCGTTCAGGCTGTCGCTAGGGCCGTTCTGGCCGTTGAGGCTGTTGAGGCTGCTCCCACTGAAACTCCTATTCATGCCCTGATCCAACCCCCCGCCCATGCTACCATCTGCAATACCACCCATGCTCTCTCCAGTAACCCTGCTAAAGCTGCTCCGGCTGTTGCGGCGGGCCCTAATGAAACCCCTGCTTGTGCTGCCACCAGTAACGCTGCTTGTGCTGTCACCGGTAATACTTCCACCCACCCCCCCGCCCATGCTGTCACCACCAGTAATGCTGCTTGTGCTCTCACGATCCTCCCTACCAGTGTCCTGATTTACCCCCCCGCCCACGCTCCCCTCTGCAACTGCAAAATTGGTACTGTTACTAATGTTCTCACCAGTAACACTATTCCATCCCTCCCCTCCCTTACTCTCTGGACTATTCCCTCCCTCCCCACCCAACTCTCTCTCTTCCTCCTTCCCTGCCTCCACCCCAGCTTCTTTCCTCCTCTCTCCTCCCCCCTGCTCTTCCCCCCCGGTCTTCCCTTCACCACAATCACCCTCCTCCTGAATCTCCCTAAAACTCCCCTTGCTCCCCCAACTGCCCCTGCTCCCCCTGCTCCCCCAAACCCTCCTGCTGCCCCCCCTTGCCCCGCCGCCAACCCCGCGCCCTTCGTTATTGTCACACTCCGGCACAGGGGACACCTGGGAGATGCCCTCTAGGCTCTTCCTGCGGTGCGCCCGCCGCATATAAGCACGCGTGGGCACCTGGATGTGGGTCCGGGGGGAAGGGGGAACGCCACTTGCTGCTATGACTGCTGAAGGTGTTGGTGGTGCTGCTGCAGCCGGTGCTCCTGCTGCCGCTGCTGCTACTGCTTCTGCTCTCTCTCCTGCTCCTGCCTCTGTGCCTGCACCTGCACCTGCTGTGCCTGCACCTGCACCTGCTACTGTGACTGTGCCTGCGCCTGCTGCGCCTGCTGCGCCTGCTGCGCCTGCTCCTGCTGCCACGTCTGCTGCTGCTGCGGGTGTATCAATCACACCACCCTCTGCCACCCCAACCAACGGCCCCCCACTCTGTGGGCTAACGGGGACGTCTATAGGGAAGAGAAAGTCCCTTGTTCGGCCCCTCTCATGCCTTACCCTCAACCTCGCCCCTCTCTCCTTGCCTCCAGCATCCCCAGCAGCGGGAGCAGAAGGAGACGGAGCAGCAGCAGCAGGAGCAGCAGCAGGGGCAGCAGCAGGGGCAGAAGGAGCAGAAGGAGCAGAAGGAGAAGGAGCAGAAGGAGCAGAAGGAGAAGGAGCAGCAATTGGCTTCCTGCTGTCTCCTCCCAAACCCCTTCGTACCGCGTTCAAAGGAGGAACTACCAGAACAGGTGGAGCAATCTCGGACTCCTCCTCCTCACTCACCTCCTCCTCTTCCTCATCCCCTCTCCTATCCTCCTCCCGTTTCTCTTCCTCCTCCCTTTCCTCCCTTTCCTCCTCGTCCTCCTCATCCCTCCACCCTCCACCCTCCAGGCGGCCTCCAGGCGTCTTAGAGCCACGTGACTGGAAAGAATGTGACTGTAAAGATTGTGACTGTAACGAATGTGACTGTAAGACGTGGGAACTGGGTGACTGTATCGGCTTAGCATGAGACATGCCGTGACTGGTTTCCGCACGGGCCTTGCCCGAATCCTTCCATATAGTCACATGGGTGGAGAAGGTTGGGGTGGGCGGCAGCATAAGACGGCGTAGGCTAGCCGCCATACCACCGTCTTTCTTCCTGCTGCCGTCCTTTTTCCCATCCTTCATGTTGCTTGCACTTCTGCCTGTGTTACCGCTTGTGTTGCTGTGTGAATTACAGCTTGAGTCATTGGCAGTGCTGCTGCTGCTGCTGCTGCGGCTGTAGCTGCGGCTGCTATAGCTGCTGCTCTTGACAAACCCACTACTGTCCGTGACAGGGACGTCACTCGCGTCTGTAGCCTTGTCTTTTCTGCTGCTTCGGCTGTAGCTGCGGCTGCTGTAGCTGCTGCTCCTATCCATTCCGCTGGTGCTGTGACTGCAGCCGTTGTTGCTGATAGCTGTGGTATTGATGGTTGAGTTGCTGCTACAGCTGCCACGGCTGCTGTAGCTGCTGCTCTTGCCCATACCTCTGACGTCAGCGCTAGTGCCACTGCTGCTGCTGCTGTGGCTCACACTGCTCCCAGAAGCTGCACGTTGCATGTGGCCATCCATCCTCGCTATAGTGGCATTCCTGTCTTTCACCAACACTTGCCCAGTACCAAGGAATCCGATGTAATTATATTTTTCAAATACCGGCGTCCACAGTCGCTCCAGCGCCTCAGGTGTTGGCAAAACTGCACTCTTGCTGCTGCTACTGCTGCTTCCATTTTCACTACCATCATCTGTTATTTTAAAATTTTCGTCACTGTACATTTCCGTGCACTGTACACCGTTTCCAAACGCGTCCGGAGATCCCGAGGCTCCAAGGTTCGGCAAATCGATGTGCACGAACGGCGCTGGAGCTGGGAGCTCGTCGTGCATGATTTGCCACGATTGGTGCGCGATCGTCAGCTCTTCGATCGCACGTTCGCGACCCCATGCCCGTTCGTCAAACGCCAACCATCGGCGCTGGTAACCAGCTTCGTTTTCGCTCGAAGTTACAGATATGTTTTTCCCATCATTTCTTGGAGCAGGTACACCGCAGCACGTTTTTATCCACTGCTTGATTCGCTCCAACTCTCCAGGCATCTCCCACGCGAGATCTTCTAAGTCATTCAGTACGTGCGACCGCGGGTCGGCAAGCGAGATCGCCAAAATTGTCCACGACATCACGCGACGTCGCCCAGGTGATTCGACGCTGGACCCACGCGGCGACGGCCCACGCTCGTGCGACGTCGCCGACGTCGCGAACCCGTCGCAGAACTCGGATACTACGGCAATCGCGCCGAGCGGCTTTACCGCGTACAGCTGCCCCGTCTCCCCCTGCTGCGCGCCGATTTCAATCACCTCCACGGGAGCCCCGGTTAGCGGAATCTCCGCTCCCCAAGTCTCCCTTCCGCTTCCGTTTCCGCCTCCGCCGCCGGCTCCGCCGCTGCCGCTGCTGTAGCCTGGGGACTCGGGATCCTGCCACGTCTGCGGGGCAATCCCGAGGTTCCACGGCGCTTCCGCCGCATATCGTGCTGGCGCGAGCTTGCCGCCGCCGCTGCCGTCTCCGCCGGCGGCGCAAGCCACAGGGCGAAGCGGGTCGAAATCCTCATCCGCGGAAACCTCGACGCGCGCGGCGGAGCCGCGCGGCGTGAGGCAGAGGACATGATAGTATCCGTGCTTGGAGTGTAAGGGGAAATCGTGCCAGGGGGAAAACGGCCGCGCGGAAGGATCGAAGAAGAGCCATCGATAGGAGGGAGAATCGACGGTTCCGAACTCGACAACGGACCATCCGTCGGCGAGAAAATGCTTATTCATGAGGGTAGCCTGATAGGAAGGGTATTTCAAAATATTATCGACGATTCATAACTGTAGCGTAGAGACGCATCTTACTCGAGTCGAGACGTGGACGACGTCTAACACAGGCTAGAGCAACCCAACGCTCTTACTCGCACCTCAAAGTCGTCTTGTCATTCCTTATTTCAGACGAAAACGGCTGCTAGACTCGTAACGTAAGGTGTAATTCAAGCTTGCCGGTGTTTCTGTGCAGAAAGCTGCTGTTTTGTGAGCAATTCACCACCACTCTTCACCCACCCCTCTGCTCGTGCTCGTCTTGAACAAGCAGAAGTTCTCAAGCACGTTTTTTGCGGACATCACGACCTTTTCTTTTCCATGCTGGGCCACCCTACTATTTTGATAGGTCCCCAACCCACAACTGGGGCTAAAAACGGGTAGATGTAGGAAATTATGATCACATGGCTCAAATATGCAGATTGCAATGTCTGAAACGTTTTCCACATGCTCAACCTCCACTATTTTCCATTTGTAATTCAACCTTGTCAAAAGCCTTCTAAACGATAAAACCCTCGATTTGATTGAGCAGGTATTGAAACGCTCCCAGAATTTCAAGAAGAAACAGCTAATATACACTTTAGAAATAGTCCCTAAAAGGGAGGTTGAGCTTCAACCAACCGACAAGCTCAATCCAGACCTTCTCGCCAACAGATGGCTGCACGATCGTCAACACCTCTTCTTCACATCCAACCTCCCACCATGGGCACGCTCCTTACCTGACATGACACCTCTTTCTACTCTCACAATGGCGGGATGTGATGTGATGTGACTGGCTGTACGTTGTGCAGTCCTCGAAGTTTGTGCGTCGTGTGGTGTGGATGGTGTCGCGCAACTGACAGTGCCATCTGTGTGAGTGAGTGGTGTGCAAACATTTTCGGAGGTTGAGGGTCGTGTCATGGGGTTGGTGGTGACTCGGTGAGGCTTGGAATGGAGTGTGGGATGGTGAGGTTGACAAAGGGGATGAGTGGAAAGCGCATTCGAGTCGGTACTGCACAGTAAGGTAGTGTACAGAACCCATTTTCCTGGCTGTGCTGGATGGAGCAGAGTGCAAGGTGGTTCGTTTGGTCAGGAACACATTTGTCGTCATCGTAGGTGGGGCTTCACCAAATCGGGTTCTGTTTGTCGTGTTTCACTGTCGTCCGAGTTCACGAACCGCGATTTTCTGCCATGCACCCGTGTTCAACCAATGCGGAGTCAGTCCATGGCACACAGGCAGCAGAGCACGACTTTTCGTAAGCCAAGCAAGGACAGGTGGATTTCCTTGTCCTATCCTCCATACGGTCTTGATCGTCACCAGTTGACAACCCTCTTTATAGGATAGTCCCATCTCATGACCTTGGAAGGTACGGAACTACCAACTTCTAAACTCGAATGCCAACGCCAAAGTGACGACAAGTCAGTGACAGTGAAGGAATTTGCTAACTAGAAGATTGAGACCAAGAGTCCATTTAAAGCGACGGGCAACTTTTGGCAGTGTTGGGTTCAGAAGTTTTTTTTTTGAACCAGGCTTGCCAGCGCGAAAGTGCTGGCTGGCGAAAACCAGGATTTCGTGCGGACACTTTCCATCCGCAGTAACAGTTCGCCAGGGTTCTGGGTTTTGGGTGGCAAATGTGCACCGTCGCTTTAAAACCAGGGTGCACATTCAACGCGGTTCGGCTTGAGATGTTGGGAAGGGGGTTTGGAGAAAAACAGTGATTGGCTCACGAGGGGCGACAAAAAAATGATTCCGCTAGAGCTTCGGGCATTTCGTAGGTGGCGGGAGGGGGTGAAATGGCGGGAGTGGGTGAAACCGAATGGCGGGAGGGATGAAACAGATTGGCGGGAGGGGGGGGGGAAACGAAATCGCGGGGGAGGGGGGAAACAAAATTGCGGGGGAGGGGGGAAACGAATTTCGACGGGGAGGGGGAAATGAAATTGCGGGGGCGTGGGGAAACGAAATTGCGGGGGAGGGGGGAAACGAATTTCGACTTGAAGGGGTTGAAAGCACACCTCGTAACCCACTCAGTCAAGGGATAACCTTTGATGCACATTCAGCTGAATGTGCACCCCGGTTTTAAGCAAATTCCGCGCCGTGTGTTCCCGCGGCGAAATGGACTCTTGGACTCCCAGAATGCAATGATAGTCCATTTAAGCAAGGGTGCACATTCCTAGGGGTGGTTTTCGGGTGTATTGGTTTGGTACACCCCTTAGGGTGCTATGAATGGTTGGCGAAGAGTCCAACCATACGAAACACTGGAGCGACAGTTGGAGAATGTGCTGGCGAACACAATCAAATTCGTCGGCGAGTTGGGTTGCGGGAACACACGGCGGAAGGGGAGGCAAGTGATAAACCTTTGAGACACCCCCCCCCCAAAGTGCACCCTTGTTTTTAGAAGCCAATGATCAAGCATACTGTCCTGATTTATTGAGATGAGCAACCAGAACTATTAGGCAAAAAAAAAGGAAGAACAGGCTCAAGCTCAGCCACTGCCCCCCAGAAAGAGCAATCCACCTTTACGAGCTCGGTGGTTGAGAAGCAAAATCAAACGACCCAGATCCAACAGCAAATGAATGCCTACGAGCATGACCAGTCCTGGGCCGCCCCATCCCACCCTGCTGCTGCTGCTGATGCCCACCCATCCCACCAGCATTACCTTCCCCTACTCCACCACCACTGCCCCCAGCAGCAGTAGCACCTCCACCAAATGAACCTGTCTCAGATCCACCTGCCATTCCGCCTGCCATTCCACCTACAGGCACAGGAGCCAGCTGAGGCCTCCACTTGGAAGGTGACACCCGGGAAGGGCTGCTTCTGCCGCCCACCTGATGCTGCTGCTGCTGCTGCTGCTGCTGCTGTTGCGCTGACAGCTGGTGCTGCTGCCCATGCTGCTGTTGTTGCACATGGTGCTGCCCCTGGAATGCAGAGAACGGAGCACTGGAGGAACCTTCCCTCGCTGTTTCCTTGATGCTTCCAAACAGCTGCGGCGAGGTCGGCCTCGGCATGTCAAGCGCTCCGCTCCGAGTCTCGCCGGCCCCGATGCTGCTGCTCCTCCTCCACGCCGCCCGCCTGCCGGCCGCAATCTCCGCTCTGTTGATACCACCTGAAGCTACCCCGCCCGGACCTCCACCAGCACCTGGAGAACCACCTGAAACAATGTGGCCTGCTGCCAGCCCACCTGAAGAGCTGCTATCCTTGAGCCGGGAGCTCCGTGCCCTGTGCGGGGACACATGGCCGGGGGGAGGAGTGGGTCGACCCCCCAGCTGAGGGGACGATGGCCTACCCATGCGCATCTGCATCCCTCCCTGCACCCCTCCCCCTCCTGCTACTCCTCCTCCCACTCCTGCTGCTGTCATTGCTGCTCCGGGTGCTTGCACCATCCCCCCCCCTCCCTGTCCATCCCCCCCTGAGGCAGGCTCCTCAACCTGCCATTGGTCAAACGAGCCCTCCTGCCCACCACCCCCCTCCCCTCGGCCAGCCATGCGCTCCGGCGGGAAGTGCACGCGACTGGTGCCAGCAGCAGTGCCGGCGGCGCTGCCCTGCTGCTGCCCTACCCCAACCACTTCCCCCACACTCCTTTGCCTGGGTACCCCTGCCGCATGCCCATGCCCATGTGCATGAACATGCGCGTGCGTATGGGCATGGCCTGCCATTCCCCCAGGCCCTCCGCCCCCACTCACCCCCCCAGCACCACCCCCCCCAGGTTCCCCAGCACTCCACTGCCTGGGTATCCCAGGGGGCCCTCCCAACCTCGACCCATGCCCTCCTGCTCCCCCTGCACCCACCCCCACCCCTCCTCCTCCACCTCCACCGCCCTCCACCCATCCGCGACTCCCCTGCTCTTTAAGCGACCCGTTTCCCAGCATGCGCGTGTGTCGAATGTCCCGTCCCAGCCTTTGCTCGGGCACACCCACATGTGCCTCTGCTGCTGCACACCCAGCAGCGGCTGACGGAGGGCCTTCGAGAACCTGGGCTACAGGAAGGGAGGACGACGAGGGAACTCCAGGTCCGGCCATGCCTCGCTCCGAGCCTGACTTTAGAAACCTCCTCGGGCTCGGAACGCTGCTGGTTTCGTTACCCGCGCCACTGCTGAAACCACGGCCGCTGCCAGCAGCAGCAGCAGCAGCAGCACCAACACTGCTGCTGCTTCTGAAGCTGCCATCTCCTCCCGACCCTGGAGCCCCACCCACCCGCTCCGAACCTGATTTCACCAGCCTCCGCGGCAGGTTCTGGTTCACAACCCCTCCAGAGGAATCTGCAAAACCGCCACCACCGCTGTTCTCACCCTGCTGCTGCTGCTGCTGCTGCGGTTGCTGCTGTTGGGGAACGCGTGTGAGGGGGCTACCAGGGCGAGGGGGGTTGGCACTGAAGCTAGAAGCCAGAGTGCCGCGGCTTAGGGGGCTCAGCAACGGCTGGTGATGGGCGTGGGCGTGGGCTTTCAGGGGGCTGGCAGGGGGGAACTTGGCCAGAGGGGAGGCTAGTGGGATATCTCCATCCCCATCCGCGTCCTCCTCCTCCCCGTCGTTCTGCCCGCCGTTCTGCCCAGATGCTACATCGCAGTTCAGCTTCCTGACTGCTCCTCCTGCTGCTCCTGCTGCTGTTACAAACCCGTTAGGAGAATTTGACCCTGCTGCTGCATCAGTCCCTTGCTGCTGCTGCTGCTGCTGCTGCTGCTGCTGCTGCTGGGACTTCTGCTCCTGCTGTGGCTGCTGCGGCTGGGCGGAAACGAGAGGCGACGCTAGAACCACACAGTCGTCCTCATCCTCCTTATCATCGTCCTCGTTAACAGATACGTTCAGTGGCATTCGCCCTGTAGCAGATGCCCCTGGCGCAGCCTTACACTCCACGATATCCCCGTCATCCTCGTCACAGTCATCCTCACTACTGTCCAAATCCGCGGTGTATTCCTCTTCCTCGTTAGTGCCACCTCCGTTAGAAGCACCTTCCAAACCTGGATCGCCAATCGCCCCTCCCAGCTGAGGGAAGGTAAATGTCGAATCCTGGTCCGCACTGCTGCCCTCTTGCGCCTTGCTTCCGCTCTCCTTGCCCACCTCACTCCCCTCACCCCCCTTGCTACCGATCTCGATCAGTAGCACACCTGAAGTCTCCTTTCCGTCAACACCCGCGCTTCCGCCACTGCCCCCGCCTCCTCCTGCGCCTGCCGCAGGGCCAGAGGGGGGCATCCCAACCCGCTTGACAACAACAGGCGGGTCTCTCCCCCCTCCGCCACTCCTCCGCCTCACCAGCGGACCATCCGTGCCCCCATCCTCCTCCGCCCCCCTTCCCCCGTCCACAGACGCGCTCCTGAAAAATCCGCCCCGCCCCATCCCCCTCCCCGGACCCGCCCTCCCCCCAGCAAACCCCCCTCCGCCCAAAGGACCCGGCCGCCCCGCCCTGCCCATTCCGCCCTTAACCATTCCCGGCGGCGCCAGCCCCGCTCCCCTGCTTCCCGCTGCGCCGGGCGCGGGGGCGCCCCCTTGCGCCCCTGCTGCGCCAGGGTGGGGGGGAGAGCCATGAGCTAAGGCGCTAGCAGTACCGCCACCGCTGCTGCCGCCACCGGTAATGCTGCTGACACTGGTATTACCGCCGCCGCCGCCGCCGCCGCCGCTGCCGCTGCCGCTGCTGCTGAAATCCATATGTGGGCTGAAACTGACGCTCTGCGCTCGGGCGTGTCTGTTAACCCTACGCCCCGCCGGGCCCGCTCCCCCTGCGCTGCTGCTGCCGGGAAACGCTGCGAACTGCGACGAAGGCGGCTGCTGCATGCGAGGGCTTAGAGAGGGGGGTTTACCACTTCCGCCAATCCCCGCACCCCCGCCACCTCCGCCACCCCCGCCGCTCCCACCGCTAGGGCTCCCCGTCCCCGAATGAAACCCGTGAGGCGGACTGTCCATGCCCGTCCCGAAATCCGATGCGCCTGGGGCGAAAAACGACACAGACGAAGCTCGCCGGTGTGCGGTTACCCTGTCTCTCGGTGTTACACCTGCCGGACCTCGAGCTGAGCTCGAGGCGAGAAGCTTCCGCCTCAAGTCGTCCGCCGGACCTGCTTTCGCCGCCACAGGGTGCGCTGAACCCGCCTCAGTTCCCGCCCCTGTCCCCACCCCCGCCCCCGTCCCCGTCACCGCACCTCCGCCCCCCCCCGCGTCCACTCCCCCTGCGCCTTCCCGCTTGGAAAACGGCACGCATGCGCCAGTGGCGGAAGGATCGTCCAGCGACCCGCCCGCGGTGCTCTCTACAAGCTTCCGCAGATCTCTCGCGTGCACGGCGGAGGGCGGGCGGATGGGCGCGGAAGCGGAAGCGGCGGAGGCGGAGTGGGGGCTGTGGTGGGTGCTGTGGTAGGTGTGCCAGGCGGCATGCGCTTTGGAGAGGAGGGAGAGCGTTCGGTCCGTGGGGACGGGCTTTTCGCGGTAGCCGATCGTGTTGGGTACGTCGTCTGAAAGGAGACGACATGCACGGAATGGGGAAGGAGGGAGAAGAAATTTCGAGTCGACTCAAAAATCGGTCACCGATCGTGTTGGATACGTCGTCTGAAAGGAGACGAAATGCACGGGATGGGGAAGGAGGGAGGAAGGAAAAGAGTGTAGGGCGGGAGAGGGCGAGGGGGGAAGAGGAAGAAGGGGGGGAGGGGGAGAGAGTGGGGAGAGCAACTTAGAGGGAGGAAGGGGAAACCAGCAGCAACTATAAAGAGCTTCAAAGGCTCTGCGTGCCGGCGTATTTCATAAGTCAATGAAGTCCCTAGTCTCACAGTATTTGCTGAATATCAGTTTTAGGCCTTCATGAGATAAACTTTGTTTTGACCATGGTTTCGTTCCCTGAAGAATACTTATTACGCTGTCAGGAGGGCTTCTTAGTGTATGCTACTGTGATCCTCTCTAATATGGGAAATTCCTATTCATTTCATTTTCCCGAAAGAGTGGAGACACAGTTGAGCAGGAAAAGACACATTCTGGGAGTTAATATCAAGCTACAAGGCCGAGGATGCGGAAAACAAACTAACTAATAACCTTAAACCAGCAACGAAAAAAATAGCAACTCACATCTGGAAACACAGGCTGACGTTTTGAGCCACTCGCTGATCTCCGCAAGCTTCCCACCAGCGTGTCTCTGTAAGTCGTCTAGACACGATAACTTATCAGCGATGGGGTCCATGGAATTAATGCCGACTATTTTCAGGGTGGTCTTTAAATTAGGACTTATCACCAAAAACGCCGTCATTGGCTTCACGCGATACGCGTATCCCACGTCAGCAGGCGCGGATCCTATATCGATTATTTCTACTGGACCATGCTGTTTCGACGGGTCCGAACCGCTTCCGTTATTCTCGTCGTCCTCGCTAAAGCATGAGCACGTTTGCGGGATAATACCGAGGTTCCACTGTACATTGTCCTGGTAGTGCGCGGGAGCACCGTTCGATTCGCGAAGTCTCAACGGCTGATAAAGCTCCGAAACGGCTACTTCTAACTGTAACCACGAGCCCTTAGGCGTAGTGCAGACCATCTCGATACAGTCACCGGCGGATAACGTGGCGGGAACCGTGCCATCGTTAGAGTCAAACCGAAGCGGTAAGTCGTGCCAGGGGGAAACTGGATGGACTAAACTGGCATTACTACTAGCTGACGTGGCACTTGCCGGGCTTGCTAACAGAAACTTGCGGTATACTAACGACCCTTCAGGTCCGAAATCCATGTCGAAGCCAATTCACAGTTGTGCGAAGCTATGATCGCAACAGCAGCAGATTACCTAACAATCGGCAACACTACCTTGAGGAAACTTCGATGGCGTTGTCTAATCGTGAGAACGCCCTGTAACTACTCCTCTAGTAGACTCAGGCACTCTGCTGGACAACAAAAGCTGGTAGCCTTTTGGCCGACTATTTCTAGGGAACCGTCATTTGAAAAGCACCCTCCTGCTCTCATCACAATCAGTGACTCTCTTTGCGATTTAGCGCGGTCAAATAAAACTTTAGAACGTTTGAGTGGGATAATGAGCAAAAGTGGGAGTCGGGATTATCTGTCAACGAACTGTGAGGGCGTTATCAGCCATGTTTAGTGCGATCTACAACGGTTAAAGTTACGAACAGAATGTTAGAAACTGGTTCTGAGGGTAACCGAACACAGCAGCAGGCGCAGAGGTGAACCTTGAAAATGTCATCCTTTCCGAACCGGGCCTGTTGGCTTGGGTTCAACGTTCCGTCTGGACCGTGGTGGTGCTGCTGCTGGCGTGGGTGAAAGTGACGAAGGGAGCGAGGGGGAGGCTTGCCCTCCGTACGTATAGAGCCGGAGGTAAGGAAGCCCTGAGGGTGAAAAACCAGGTACGTTCTGTTGTCTCTTCTGCAGACATGGGAACAATAAATCGACGGTTGTCGTCGAAGTGAGGTCTGGCTCGGAGGGCTGTCGCTTGGTCTGGGCCCAAGCCTTACGAAGCTGAACTGGCCCGAAACAAGCCCTGAAACATCCGGACAGCAGTCGAATCTAGCCCTTAAATTCAGGCAGTCTGGATTCCTGCACTGAGCCGCATGCACCAGAAAGCTAAGTAACTCTAGGTACGTACTACCGATCAGAGCACGCTGGTGCGGGAGAGTAGAGAGGGCTGGGAGGAAGAGAAGTGGGACATGTACACGGTCGAAGGTCAGGAAGAAGGGGGGGAAGGGGGGGGGGAGGGAAGAGCAGGTACACGGGAAATCCAGGGAAGGCTCCAAACCCGTCCGTTAGGAATACGGGCCAGGTAAAAACCAACCCTGAAAATCTCTGAGCTGAGTTGAAACGAACCCTGAATTCTCAGGGAAAACGGGCGAATGCCCGTGAATCGACAGGTCGGAGGTCGAGCTTGTGAGGTTAGCGGCGTGGAAAATACTCACGAGTGATCGCAGCGGTCAGATCAAATTACACTGTCGCTGGCAGTTGAAGTTTAGATCGTCTGCTGCTGAACCGAACAACCAGCATATGGACAGAAGCGACAGATTTTCAGCATCAAGCCAGCCTGGCGTTTGTTTGTCTGTCATCCTAGCAATGCCTTACGTGCACGCCTTCTCGCTAGCATAAAAAGAAGGCCATAGTACACGACTTCTCACTCTGCTTAACCACTACAGAACGCAATATATTCGAATATAATTACTTTCCTACCTAACACACACCTACGACTGCTGGCAGGTGCATGTCCTCAGAGGTAGTGCTGAGTAAGATTACTCTCCACTCCCAACCTTTCTGTCAATGATGGGTGGTATAAAGAACTGATTTCAAATGTTGGCCGATACATACCTGTCATAACACGCTCTTAACTCTTGACTTAGTAACTTAGGGTTTACCTAGGAAGCGTGAGTGTCGAGAGTGAGCATGGCAAGAGAATTGGGCAAAGAGGGCCATTCACTAAGGAATGTTTACAAGATATAGGATAGGGGAGAGGATAGGGTACACCACCAGCAGCTGAACCTAATAACTAACTAATACACTAGCAAGCTGTAGGCAGTTAGGATATGCAATATAATTCCCACCATAACACTTTGTAAGGCCCTTTCAGTTCCATGTGATCCAGCAGCCGCTGTGGCTGAGTCACTCCCAGCCAGCATACTGCCCAGACACATGCTCAGCAGAAATGACAGCACGATAAGAGCAGCACCCTTTCCTTTCCAGGATTTGTTGCATTCATGTCTGCTGTTACTGCTGCTGCTGCTCTAATTGCAGGCAACATTTATTCTGCATATGAACATATCTTTCCAAGAGTGGGCTCCCACGCACGACAACGACTGTCCCATTCTGCAGAAAGCATGCTCGCAAGCGTGAACCTTCCACTCCATCCACTTCCTTTCAAAAGCATTAGTGGAACTACTGTATCCACTATTTTTTATCAAGCTGGTATGGAACCACCAGATTCGCCCTCTGCATATTGTAGATGCTGGTGGTGCTCTTGCCATGCTGCATTCCCACCACCCCACCACAAAGGACCCACAGTGATCATGCTCTTGCTACCCCTGATCGTGTTGCTTCTGCCGGCACTGCTGCTTCTGCTCTGCCGCTTCTGCTGCTGCTGCCCTGGCTGCTTATTCCACTGCTGCTGCTGCTGCTGCTGCTGCTCGTGCTCCTGCCGTCATGGCTTCAACCACTCCGCCCTCCAGCCTGCCAATCTGCTGGTTACCTCCATTTTCACCGGTCTGTTTACCGTGATACGCCGCCAGCAACCCGTCAACCTGCCCAGCAGATTCGGATCTCATGTGCCCATGGGCATGTCTCCCAGCATTCATCCCTTGATGCACGCGCATCCGCATCGTTGCTGCGCCTCCCCTCACACATCCACCCCCACGCAGCCCCACCCCCAACGACGTGCCCCACTGCTGTGCCGCTCCCCCCCTGTTTGCCTGCCCTACACCTCCCCTGATGTTCCCCCCGTTCTTCTCCACCCCCGACGCCGGACCGTCCCTCGTTGCTCCGACAAACCCTTGGGGGGACTTCGGAGAAGCAGGGAAGGCTGTGCAATTTGAGAAGGTGGGTCGTCTGCTAGGGACGTATGGCACTGCAGCCTCGTTTATTGTGAAATACTTTATCGTAGCCCCTTGGTGTGTAGACGTTTTGACTGTAGCTCCGTGTACTGTAGAACGATTCACTGTAGATCCCCACCGAGGGAACTCTGGCACGCCAGCTTCAGCGACAGCGTGCGAATGAAGCGGACTGGAGACAACATTCGCACAGCTACCAACATATCCAGTCACCACGGGTGATGAAAGATTTGGTGGTGATACTTGCAATCCAGGCGATAAAAAAATTGGTGGCGTTTTGAGCGGCACCGATGCGAAAATCGTAGTTCCTCCTGGGTTGGCGGCAGCTGCTGCTGCTGTCGCTGCGCCTGCTGTACCGCCTGGTTCCGCGCGCACTCCCGCAGCCCCATGCCCGCCTGTTTCTGTCCCTTCCGCGCGCACGAAACACGGCGCGAGAGACGGCGCGAGAGACGGCGCGAGAGACGGCGCGAGAGACGGCGCGAGAGACGGGGACATGGGCGGGGACGGGGACGGGGACGCCTGGATTTTCCGCTGCAGCTGAAAAGTGTTGAGCGACGCGAACGAGTATGATCGCCGACGGAACGGACCAGGCGGCGAGCGCGGCGCGTCGGCTTGCAGCGACGTGATTGGCGGAGGCGTCGTCGCGTGCGACGCGGACGACTGTCGCCTGTGTCGCGGTGCGAGTCTTTGCGCGGCGGGGGAAGACGAGGGCGAAGCGCCGGGGGAAAGAACGGACGCGGAGGAGACGGAGGCGGACGAAGACGCGCCGGGGGAATCCAAAAAACGCGGGGAGTGGCCGAGCGGAGGAGAAAACAATGCGGAAGCGGCGGAAGAGGAATCGGGGGAAGCGGCGGAAGCGGCGGATAACGGGGAGAGCGGGGTGAAGAGGCCCTCGGGGAGCGGCTCGTACGCGATCTCTGTCACCATGGACGTGACTGTAACGCGAGGCGACTCGTTAGCCGCACTTTGAAACGGCTCACTGACGCGAGGCGGAGTGTATTGGTAGGTACTGCCGCCACAGGCAGACCTAGACTCTGGCGGAAACGCCGCCGTGACCGCCGCTCCTGGTGGCGGAAAGCTATCATTTTGCGATGAGCTGCGCGAAACGGGGAAGTAGCGCAGGGGGGAATTCCGCGAGGCGTCTGCGCGTTCCGAACCCCGGGCCAGGGGGAAGGGGAAGTTGCGCGTCCCCGTAGTAGTATCGCCTAATACGGGTTCTATCCGCGGCGCCGGGTGCGACTGAGATTTCATTCGCCGGGAAAACAGCATCTCTGTTGCTGCCGCAACCGACAGCGCAATTGATGGTGCCTCCGCCTCCGCATCCTTCGCCTCTGCAATGGCGACGGCGACGCTAGGACCTGGAGCTTGTAACCCGCTGAAAGAACTCGCAGCGTGGCAGTGGCCAAAAGAGTCGGCAGCAGCGCAGAAGTCGCTACAATCGCCGATAGTGCTACTTGCGGTTGTCGCGGGCTCGGCGTCGTCGTCGGTAGCTGCTTCTGCTTCTGCGACCGACTGTTGAAATGCCATCCATTTCTCACACCGGCACCTCTCTGCCTCCCCCTGCTGCTGCTGCTGCGCTGTCGCCGAATTTTCTTCGCCAATTTCGCCCAGCTGTGAATGAGCTTCGCAGATTTCGCTTCCAGATGCTCCCTCTTCCCCA